ACCACGTGGTATGGGTCAGATATGGGGCGATTGAAAAGCACGTGCCACGTGCAAACGTGTTTGATGGGGTAACCTCCGGGAAAATCCGACATTGACCAACTGGGGGTCCTATGGCGTGGAAACGACTTCATCTAGCGACACCAAATCAGTGCAGCCGGTGAGCAGATGAGTCCAGCTTGTAGCACTGGTGGTCATGTGGCGCACGTGCTATTGCACGTGCCGTGGCACGGGGTCAATTTTTGTTCTTAAATACACTCACATTGTGAAATGCAAGGAATGGGGGAAATAGCCGTCAGGCCGTCAGTTTTTATGATAGAGTCGATCTGAAAACGGGTATAGACACAGAATGAACGGTGCTAGAAAACTGCTATCTCGGATTTTTTGTAAAATGAAAAATTTAAAATTCTAGGGAAATTATATATTAGAAAGGTGAAATTTCCCTAAATTTTCCCGTTTTTCAAGTTTAGCCGTCCACTGTTCAGAGACGGTGACACCGGCCGGGGTCATCTTTTACATGCCGATGGCCACTTATATTGGTCATGACGTGGCGTGAGCCGTTAAGCTGTCAAAGGTCTGGCACGTGCCACGTGGCCACGTGTTTGAGCCGAGTACCTCCCACATAATGGTGTTTTGTCCAACTGGTGGCCGTATAGCGTGGAAACAGAACCAGCCAAGAACACTAAATTGGGTCAGTCGGTGAGGGGACAGGTCCTGCTTTCATCACCAGTGGTCACGTGGCACACGTGTTCAGCTGGGCTCCTCCTTTGCGGAGATATTTTATCGTGAAATATTCAAACGTCCATAACTTTCTCAAATATGGTCCGATTGGGTTCAAATTTGGTGGGTGGATGAATTGTTAAGCGACATGAACGAATGCGCCATGTTTGTTGCAGTGCGCCACGTTTGTCTCAAAGCGCCATTTTTGCCGCAAAGCGCAGAATGTGCGTAACTTTGTCGAACATTGGACGATTAGGATGCGCTGTAATTAAGGGATGGCTGCTTAAACGGCAGATATGATTGCACCACATTTGCCGCAGGGCGCCATATTTGTCTTAATGCGTCAGTGTTAGCGTTTTCTTACGGCGGGCGTTTTTTGCGGCGGTGTTTGCGTTTTTTTTCGGGGTTTGCGTTTGACGGCGGGCGGCCGTTTTTGCGTTTTTGGCGGTGTTTGCGTTTGGCGGCGGGCGGCTGTTTTTTTGCGGCGTTTTGCGGTTGGCGGCGGGCTTGCGTGCGTTGCGGGCGTTTTTTTTGCGGCGGTGTTTGCGTTTTGTGCGGTTTTTGTGTTTGGCGGCGGGCGGGCGGGCGATGCGGGTGTTTTTGCTGTTTGCGTTTGGCGGCGGGCGGCCGTTTTAGCGGCGGTTTGCGGCGGGCGGCCGTTTTTTTGCGGCGTTTTGCGGTTTGCGGCGGGCGACCGTTTTTTGCGGCGTTTTGTGGTTTGCGGCGGGCGGCCGTTTTTTACGGCGTTTTGCGGTTGCCGGCGGCCGGCCGTTATTTGCGGTTAGCGGCGGGCGGTCGTTTTTTGCGGCGTTTAGCGGTTTGCGGCGGGAGGCCGTTTTTGCGGCGTTTTGCGGTTCGCGGCGTGCGGCCGTTTTTTTTGCGGCGTTTCGCGGTTGGCGGCGGGCGATGCGGGCGTTTTTTTTTGCGGCGGCGGTGTTTGCGTTTTTTGCGGTGTTTGTGTTTTGCGGCGGACGCGCGTTTTTTTTTGCGGCATTTTGTGCGTTTTTTTTTCTGCGGTTTTCGGCGGGCGGGCGATTGTTTGTTTGCGAAGTTTGCGTTGGCGTTTTAGGCGTGCGTTTTGCGCGTTTTGCGGTGTTTGCGTTTGGTGGCGGGCGGGCGGGCGGTTTTTCACAATTAAAGTCCCAACCTTCGGATCCGCAGTGCTGTATCCGAAGGTTGGGACTTTTCAATTAAGAACAATCACTATTCTTTAGAATTGTGATTTTCTATTGAAAATCCCAACCTGAGCTACCTCTCTAGGGGGGTGTTTAGCGTTTCTGCCGCGATTTTGGTCATTTTGATCCCCGCGAAAACGGATAGTTAGATTTTCTTGCCATTTTCAGCGTTTGGTCCCGTGTGGGGGAGCTACCTGCTGGCAAAGTTACAAAAAATATAATTGACACGTTTTGGGGTAAGCGGCACGTGCATTTTCCCATAGGGTTAACATGGGGAAAAATTAAAAATGCGATTTACGGAAAATCTGTTCAGTAATATTTGTCCACATTTTTAGGGTCGGCTCTCGGGCTGGCACCCCACCCGTCGGTGGTAACCGCTTAAAATATAATTAGAGAACTTTCGGGTAATTGGCACAGACAGTTACCCCATGTTGAGCCTATGGCGAATTCGAAAAATTATTTTCAAATCGATTTTGCAAAAAATTTCCACGTTAGATTTTGAAAATATCCCAATATGTTGTGCCCCGGGGTGTCGGCTACCACATGGTATGGGTCAGATATGGGGCAATTGAAAAGCATGTGCCACGTGCAAACGTGTTTGATGGGGTAACCTCCGGGAAAATCCGACATTGGCCAACTGGGGGTCCTATGGCGTGGAAACCACTCCACCTAGCGACACCAAATAAGTGCAGCCGGTGAGCAGATGAGTCCAGCTTGTCCCACTAGTGGTCACGTGGCGCACGTGCTATTGCACGTGCCGTGGCACGAGGTCAATTTTTGTGCTTAAATACACCAACGTTGTTAAATGCAAGGAATGGGGGAAATGGCCGTCAGGCCGTCAGTTTTTATCATAGGGTCGATCTGAAAACGGGTATAGACACAAAATGAAAAGGCCTAAAAAACTGCTATCTCGGATTTTTTGCAAAATGAAAAATTTAAAATTCTGGGGAAATTTTATATTCGAAAGGTAAAATTTCCCTAAATTTTCCCATTTTTCAAGTTTAGCCGTCCACTGTTCAGAGACGGTGACACCGGCCGGGGTCATCTTTTACATGCCGATGGCCACTTATATTGGTCATGACGTGGCGTGAGCCGTTAAGCTGTCAAAGGTCTGGCACGTGCCACGTGGCCACGTGTTTGAGCCGAGTACCTCCCACATAATGGTGTTTTGTCCAACTGGTGGCCGTATAGCGTGGAAACAGAACCAGCCAAGAACACTAAATTGGGTCAGTCGGTGAGGGGACAGGTCCTGCTTTCATCACCAGTGGTCACGTGGCACACGTGTTCAGCTGGGCTCCTCCTTTGCGGAGATATTTTATCGTGAAATATTCAAACGTCCATAACTTTCTCAAATATGGTCCGATTGGGTTCAAATTTGGTGGGTGGATGAATTGTTAAGCGACATGAACGAATGCGCCATGTTTGTTGCAGTGCGCCACGTTTGTCTCAAAGCGCCATTTTTGCCGCAAAGCGCAGAATGTGCGTAACTTTGTCGAACATTGGACGATTAGGATGCGCTGTAATTAAGGGATGGCTGCTTAAACGGCAGATATGATTGCACCACATTTGCCGCAGGGCGCCATATTTGTCTTAATGCGTCAGTGTTAGCGTTTTTCTTACGGCGGGCGTTTTTTGCGGCGGTGTTTGCGTTTTTTTTTTCGGGGTTTGCGTTTGACGGCGGGCGGCCGTTTTTGCGTTTTTGGCGGTGTTTGCGTTTGGCGGCGGGCGGCTGTTTTTTTGCGGCGTTTTGCGGTTGGCGGCGGGCGTGCGTGCGTTGCGGGCGTTTTTTTTTGCGGCGGTGTTTGCGTTTTGTGCGGTTTTTGTGTTTGGCGGCGGGCGGGCGGGCGATGCGGGTGTTTTTGCTGTTTGCGTTTGGCGGCGGGCGGCCGTTTTAGCGGCGGTTTGCGGCGGGCGGCCGTTTTTTGCGGCGTTTTGCGGTTTGCGGCGGGCGGCCGTTTTTTGCGGCGTTTTGTGGTTTGCGGCGGGCGGCCGTTTTTTACGGCGTTTTGCGGTTGCCGGCGGCCGGCCGTTATTTGCGGTTAGCGGCGGGCGGTCGTTTTTTTGCGGCGTTTAGCGGTTTGCGGCGGGCGGCCGTTTTTGCGGCGTTTTGCGGTTCGCGGCGTGCGGCCGTTTTTTTGCGGCGTTTCGCAGTTGGCGGCGGGCGATGCGGGCGTTTTTTTTGCGGCGGCGGTGTTTGCGTCTTTTTGCGGTGTTTGTGTTTTGCGGCGGACGCGCGTTTTTTTGCGGCATTTTGTGCGTTTTTTTTCTGCGGTTTTCGGCGGGCGGGCGATTGTTTGTTTGTGAAGTTTGCGTTGGCGTTTTAGGCGTGCGTTTTGCGCGTTTTGCGGTGTTTGCGTTTGGTGGCGGGCGGGCGGGCGGTTTTTCACAATTAAAGTCCCAACCTTCGGATCCGCAGTGCTGTTCGACAAGCGCTGCCCGGGTATCCGAAGGTATCCGAAGGTTGGGACTTTTCAATTAGACAATCACTACGGGCGGTTTTTCACAATTAAAGTCCCAACCTTCGGATCCGCAGAGCTGTTCGACAAGCGCTGCCCGGGCCTATAACCCGTCCGCTGTGCTCTCTGGAACGACGCATTCCTATTGATGCGTAATTGCGATGCCCAATGGTAACAGGAGTATGATATGGCAAATCTTCTTTTTCGATGGTGACCAATGTACAGAATGTAGATGAGGAGGAGAAATGTGCGAGAAAAAAATATTTAACCCTGTTCTTTGTGCGTCGTCGTCAGTAATCTAGGTCGTGTTTGCTCCGTTTGCCTTTCGTTTGCGTATTTCAAATGAAAGGTGTGTGGGATCTTTCATTTCCCGTTGGGTCTGTTCGTCGGTCCGGAAAATCACCTGCCTTCTATTCTATATATTGTGTCGTGTGTCGCCACAACAGCTGTGTCAGTCGCGTTGGCAACAAAGCTGTGCTGATAACAAAACTGTGCCAGTAACACAGTTGTGTCGGCCACACAGCTGTGCCGGTATCAGTAACACAGCTGTGTCGGTTTCAGTAACACAGCTGTGCCGGTAACACAGCTTTGCTGCTGTGGCGGTAACGCAGCTGTGTCGGTATTGGTAACACAGCTGTACTACTTCCCGCAGGTACGGAGTGGCGCTGGTGGGCGTCCGGCCGTCAGAACTGCCCGAATTCTATGAGGATACAATTCTTCTCAATCCTGGCCCAAGGCATATCATGAAAAACTCAGGTACGTATATACGAACACACTGGTGTGTATGAACACAGGCAGCTACAAAACCGGCGTGAGCCCGGTTTGAGTGCTGACATATAACAAACGGACTATAATTTTTAAGTGTAACGGAATATCCGTTTAAAATATGTGTTTTCTAGTTGAAGTACCCCAATAACTTGTCACTATGTGAGCCTGAGAGGTGCGATGGCAATGCACCATTTCACTCCTTCATCGTGTGAGGGGCCATCAGTTCCCATTCATGCCTCATCGATTCACATTAGTGTCCCCGTGCCTGTCAGAGAATTTGAAGTACCCGCTGCGAACTCGGGCTAACTTTACTGAGCGTTCGGTCATTGTCATCCATTCACACCGCGTGGCTGTCATATGTGAGCCCGACATTAGCGATAACCGACTCGGCACATTAACGCAATGACCGATTCGTCACCACTGCATCGGGAGCTAGTCAGGGTAACACGCCCCCGATCTAATACGCTGCCTTGGGTGTCGTCTGTGTGTCAGTCTGTGTGTCTGTCTGTGTGTCTGTCTGTCTGTCTGTCTGTCCGTCTGTCCGTCTGTCCGTCTGTCCGTCTGTCTGCTTGACAGTCGCCTCCCCTTCTCTTTCTCATTCCTTCTCCCTGTCTGTCTGTCTATATGTCTGTCTGTGTGTGTGTCTGTGTGTGTGTGTGTGTCTCTCTCTCTCTCTCTCTCTCTCTTTCTCTCTCTCTCTCTCTCTCTCTCTGTCTCTCTCTCTGTCTCTCTCTCTGTCTCTCTCTCTCTCTCTCTCTCTCTCTCTCTCTCTCTCTCTCTCTCTCTCTCTCTCTCTCTCTCTCTCTCTCTCTCTCTCTCTCTCTCTCTCTCTCTCTCTCTCTCTCTCTCTCTCTCTCTCTCTCTCTCTCTCTCTCTCGCTCTGTGTCGTGTTTTGACTACTGTTGCTATCGACTGCGGTCTGCGAAAGACACTCGGGCTGCGATTTCAGAGTGCGCTGACACACTCCATCATTCGCAGACATATGTTTTTATATGAGCATTACAAAGGAGGAAAACAGTGCTTTCGTGGCTGGTGACGCCTTTCCAGAAGTACCCATCACCATGCCTGAAAAGCAAAATATGACCGATGAGAAAAGCAAACTAAACCAGCGTCCTACGCATACAACAGGTAGGTCCGCATGATAAAACAACATGTCAGAATATTGTGCTTGTGTAACTTCTTCAACAGCAACAAACGCTATTCTTTAGATTCGTCCTAATTCGGAACAGTTGAGCAACAGATGTGATGCTTCTCCCGCCAACACAAACACAACAAACCGCCAGCATTCTCAGATTTTGCTGAGACTTCAATTCCGTTCCTAATTCCTACGTACCCATTATCATATGTAGTTACATTTGTCTTGTCATAGATAATCTGACAATGTTTATACTTCGTAACATTTGTATTGAGACGCTCACGATTTAAAGTTTCATCAATGCTCTACAACCAATTATTAGCTCCGACAGTGAATTGACTGGCGTGGAGCCTGTGCCAGCCAGCCAGAAGTCCCCTCAGCTGCGAGCCTATGTATGTGCTAACAAACTCCCTGACAAAAGTAGTCTGTATGAGACAATATCAGTGGCTATTTCTGAGAGATTTCATCACCTCGTCTGATGAACCAGATGCGTCGCGCTCGCAGTTTGCAACTCCTGATCATGGTGCCCAACTTTCAGTTCTCAACTTTTAGAACATAAAGCCCACACTTTTACGGCTGGTTTCCTGGTAGTTACTGGGATCGAAGCTGGTATTGCTTTTAAAGTTGACGAGGACAGGGCTTCTAAAAATACCTAACTGAATATTGCTCAGGACAACGTCGGTGTGCATCAGAACTACATAATGAATGCACTCCCTACATTCATTGTCTATAATGAACATTGAACATGCACTTTTGTCAATTTTAACAAGTTTGGCCTAGCAATGATGAAGCATCAATGCTCTTGGCTTTGTCCACCTCAAATATTCACCATCATGCATTGATGCTATCCTCCCAAATCAATCAATCCCTACCTTCCTCAGGAACGGAAGTACTTTATTGTGTAACACTGTATGGATGCAGTGTTACATAACACGCTACACATATACCCTCTGTGTATGATAACACGCTGTCGTATCTTTGAATACCAGCACCCAGAGAATTTCCCCTGTGCAAATTATTCCGCGCTTCGCCGTCGCTAACCGGTGCTACCGCCCACGGAGGTAGTTGGTGGCCATCTGAAAACAATGACGGGTAGGCAACGGTATGGGAGAGTGCTTGGGTCCCGCGGTGACCGGTCTCTCTCTCTCTCTCTCTCTCTCTCTCTCTCTCTCTCTCTCTCTCTCTCTCTCTCTCTCTCTCTCTCTCTCTCTCTCACACACACACACTCTCTCCCACAGTGGACATGGTGGCACTGGAGAAGCAGAAGCTGCGGGAGCGCCCACTGCGCGAGCTGCAGCGCGGAATGAGCTGCGAGAGCCGCGGCAGCGTGCCCAGCATGAGCTCCAATCACCTGGACGTACCGCGGGTGGAGGCCGGCGACCCGCCCGGCGCCACCCTCCGGATAGGTCAGTGATGCGATATACCCTCAGGATAGGTCAGTGACACGCGACACCCTTCAGATAGGTCCGAGTGACACGGAGCATCCTCCAGATGGGTCAGTAACACGGGCCACCCTCAGAGGTCAGTGACACAGGGCCACCCTCCGGATAGTTCAGTGATGCGATATACCCTCAGGATAGGTCAGTGACACGCGACACCCTTCAGATAGGTCAGTGATCCGATATACCCTCAGGATAGGTCAGTCACACATGATACCCTCCTGATAGGTCAGTGACACGGGTCACCCTCAGGATAGGTCAGTGACACAGGGCCACCCTCCGGATAGGTCAGTGAGACGGGATACTCTCCGGATAGGTCAGTGACACGGGTCACCCTCAGGATAGGTCAGTGACACAGGGCCACCCTCCGGATAGGTCAGTGACCCTCAGGATAGGTCAGTGAGACGGGTCACCCTCGGAATTCAGTGACACAGGGCCACCCTCCGGATAGGTCAGTGACCCTCAGGATAGGTCAGTGACACAGGACCACCCTCCGGATAGGTCAGTGAGACGCGGCGGGACCGTGACACAGACGTATGTCTGGGAGGAGGAGGTAAAAACGCAGTGAGCTGGGACGGGGTAGTGACCGGAAACAACGTCAATATGTCATTGAACATCGTTAACATGAATTAGAGTGTCGCGAGACGATTCGTCTGCAGTGTAGCAGGCTTTAAATTACTTTTACCTAAATTAGGTTTGCAGTTTTTACGACTGTTTTCAACTCTCTTTTCTGGTTTGATTTAAACCCGCGCCCCAGTGGCGGTCTCAGCCAACTTCGCCCTAGTGGGGAGGGGGCATATGTTACCACCCACCTCTAACTCAAAAACTAAGAGGGCTAGAAAGACGCAGTAAAAAGCAGTCGATAGCTCTCAATGCGTACGTTTGAAAGTATTTCGGTCATTTTTCACCTTAGAGCAATATTGGGGTCACCAGAGGTCATCAAAGGTCAAAATTTGCCAATTGTCATTATATTTTTCAGAAAGCATGCCGCTATCTCAGGAACTATGGTAGCTAGAAAGACGCATGGAAAAGCAATCGATAGCTTTTAAGCTCTTCTTTTGAAAAGGTTATTATCAATATTGACCTCAGGTCAACGGTTTAGCCTCCAGAGGGCAAAAACTCCAAAAATAGCTGTTTTTACGAAAAGTGTTTTTCGACAATAACTTTCGACTACAAAAAGCCACGACATTTCTATTGCCAGAATCGTGTTCCCCTTGCCATGACGCGTCGAATGAACTATAATTTGACCTTGAAAGGTCAACTTGAAAATTTGACCTCAGGTCAAGGTCATGATCTGACCGGAAAAGGTCATGTTGCATAACAGTCGATGCGTCTTGGCAAGACAAACACAATGAGACCATCCCCAGCGTTCTATCTCTTTCCAATCGCGAGTTATTGGCAAAAAACTGTTTATAGCCTCAAATGACCTCGGATGACCTTTCTAGAGGCTATCAGCTAAAATAACACCTTGGTCATCACGGGTGGACTAAATCATTGTGATTCTGAAATATTTGGACTGTTCCTATGCGTAAACACGGATCTAGAGGCATTTTCATTTTTCTCCATTGACTTGTAATGGAAATGTCACGCCACTGACCTGGCCTTAGGTCACGGATATAAAAAATCCGAGATATACAAATTGTAGGCGCCTATAACAGCATGCAATCCACCAAGTTTAAAACCTTTCTGACAAATACTGCAGACTGGACATGATTGCAAACTTTTTTAGGCTTGGTCAGTTAACTTGACCTGGTGACCTGACCTGACATGACCTGGGGTCAAAAATTTCACACATTGTCCAAAATTGATGTACCAAAAGCTACCGCGGTTTTTATTCACACGCAAAAAACGCGACAGGGTGGTAACATATGCCCCCCCCCCCTCACTGGGGCGAAGGTCAACATATATTTAATCTCATTCTTAATACTGCCTGTGACAACTTGGTGTCTGCAGTCTGCACGGCTTTGCAATATCAGCTTGCATAATATTTCTTTGAACCGTGTCAACAGGCGATTTTTCTGCAGCTAGGCTTCAAAGTATCTCGTCTATCCGCTACCAGGATGAGCTGAAGACCTGCGGGAGCCCTGCTTCCATCAGCTGCAGACCTGGTTTCATGAGCAACTCCATGAGCCCTTCCATGAGGCTACTTCCTCGGAATTATTACTGGTATAAATTCATTTCAGTAGAACTGGGCCGTTTTCGCTGTCTCTTTATTCCTGCTTCTAAAAGTTCTAATCAATGTTTGCGTGGCGTTTGGACCAAGTTTTCCGCTAAGCACATAGTATACGACGTCCAAGAGGAGCCAGCTGAGACGTTGATGCACGTAGTGAGAACGAACTTAGTAACGAGTCCACTAAGTTCTCATTTTTAATCAGGGCCTGTCAGACATTCCGACGCAAAGCTGGATATATAACGGGGAATTCGACTCACAGTACGCCCGTACGGTCATTAACTAGCCCGCTAATGGTGGTGTCGAAAAGAACCTGGAACAGTTTATTTTTAAACTGGGTCGGCTCTGGTATGGTGAAAAATGTCGCCTACAGTTTCCTATCACTCCTGGCAGGCGAAACATGCAGTTGGGTGAGCCTCAGGCGTCGGACGATATTCCCAGTTCACAATCAGCTACATTTTACAGAACTTACATTTCATCGAATCGGGCATCCTTTCATGCCAATCGGCTATGCAGTAGCCCTTTATTCACCCAAAGCAAATGACAGTAACTGTTTGTGTATCTGTGTTGCCTCGTTTCTACAGATGCCACACGAAGGCCGAGCATTATCACACTCAACGCCTACCCCGACTCCCACAACATTAGTAAGTTACCTGTTTAGTGTTTGACGGTGAATGCTGTGTGTAGCGGTGTATAACTGTTCAAAAGATGTGTGCGGCCGTTTGATGTAGGCACTGTCGTCACTGCACAGTGCACATTTCCGTACTCGCACTAAATGCAGTCAGGGCTGGCAGTCGTATTACTGTACCACAGGGTAAATGTACTTAGCTTTAAGCAGAGCCGCGGTTGTAGACGCCGTCTCACCTATCGTTTTTAGCACATGTGTTCGTTGTTGGTGTGTGAATAAGTGTGCTCAAAGGTATCCATCTGCAATACTCCAGAAATGCTAAAAAAGTATCCATTTGCAATACTCCAGAGAGATGGATGTCGAGTAATGTTATGCCTATTGCGACAGGACTCGCGCGATTTCGCCCGGGGGGGGGGGGGGGGGCGCCAATCTTCAATAAGACAAAATGTGTGCTTCTCCTTCAATCTACAGCAAACCTGAGGAAACCGCATATTCGTTGAAGATTCCTTGAAGCATCCCCTGCTCCAGCCCTGCTCTCCCCCTCGGCCGCAGCGCCGCTCTCACCCCCGTATTTCGGGAAGCCGCCTATGGCGATGAGTCATCGGTCTCTCGGGTTTCACCTCTGCGCCGCTCTCGGTCCCCTCACACGGCTCTGTCAGCTGAGGGCGCTAATGAGGCTCTGACCGTGACGTAGACCCCCACCGTGCGTCCGCTCGTAGCGGACGCGGGATACCGACCCAGGGGTGACGGGCAGGGAATATCGCTTTGACCTTGCCACATCTGGTTGGGGAATGGGGTATGACAAGTGTTGACCAGGCAGAGAGACCCCCTGTAGTGCAGTGATCGATCAAATTCTGGGAACCTCTCTCCCCAAGTGGCGTGAACCGGCAGAGGGTTACGTGTCCCGTGACTGGCGTGCGCTGGGGTCATTCGTGGCGCTAAGCGGCGCCGGTCCGCTGCCCCAGTCGCGCGCCGTGGGCAGACTGCGAGGTTAATGGTGTCTGAGGGACCAGAGAGAGAGGGTGGACTCCAGGGAGGCGAGCTGTGGATGGGCGGGAGATTTGTGTCGCTAGTGTCGCTAAAAGTATCATGGACGCGTGCAGAAGATGTGTGTTTGGTGGATGTTGAGGTGTCTGTTGTTAGGTTGTGTAGTGCCGGGATACCTATTGTTAGTTTTGTAGAACGAGTGTATCTCCCAAAGAAATACCATGTCGAGCATAGACGTTATCTTAGCTTGCTGTGTGCTGTGTATCATGCCAGGCTACTCATCGGCACAGCTGTTGCATGCGTATGCAGACAGGATGTATTTTAGGTCACGTCAGCTGCCTTGAATGTTTCTGTCTGTAAGATCCATGACCTAGCGTCAAGCCTGGCTAATGGTCAGGGCATAGGTACTTATGTAGATTGTTCCAGCATAAGAAATCAGAACGACAGGTGAGACAATGAACTAAAGCTAGTTTCATATCAGTGACTTACATGTTTATATCGCTTGCAAGTGCGCTATGATTGTATGGGTGTTTCCATAGAAGCACCAGCTATTATACCGCCATGATTGGGCACTGGGCAGTCTGCTGTCCACTCGCTCGACCATCGGAGGCGAATTGATTTCCCATTACCGCGCTTAATCCCGCAACATTGGGGAGTCACGTAGACTCCGTAAAGATGCAATTTCGCCCAGGAAATGACTATCGATCGGTAGCAGGATGCTTTAATCTTCATAGGCGGATGTCAGGTTCCTTAGAATCGTTGGATGCTCTACAACAAGCGTCCCCATTTGTGATAGTTATTATTTCAATAAATAACTATATGTATAAGTGGATGACCATTGACCACACCGTTTCTTTTCTGTCCGTTTTTTTGCCAATCGCCTGTGTCAGCCGGTCGGGTTGTCGGCTTCTTTGCGCGGTTATAGCGCTTCCCGGTGTGACTAACGCCCCCGGGTCCGGTCCGCCTCTAAGTGTCGGTGTGGTGTCGGCTCGAGGGAGCTCCATCAGCGACAATCGATATTTCTGATCCACCCGAGCCGCTGATGACAGACGAGGACGTGCCGCTGAAAAAAAAACTAGCGCGGCGCTGACAACTCTGAGCGCTGGCGTGAGCTCTGAACGCTGAGCTCTCACCTTATCAGACCTCTGACCTCTGACCTCTGTGACCTGTGACCTGTGACCTGTGACCTGTGACCTGTGCCCGGGCAGGCGCGCGGCGACCCAGCATCCTGCCGGTGCCGGACCAGTTCACGTCGTCGACGCTGAACGTCAGCGGCAGCCGCGACAGCAGCGACGAGCGCAGCGAGTCGGAGGACGAGATCGACAGCGTGCCCTGGAGGCCGCCCAGCGAGAAAATCGCGTCAGTACACACCGTCACACCAGAGGAGTATAGTAGTTTTGAGTGAATTACTTTTATTGGCTGTGCTTAATTTATTTCTATCCTTGATTAACATCTGGTATTATTTGTCCGTGTCGTGCTTTTTTAATTGTTGCATTAGCCATCACTACAAATTCCGGTCTGTCTCAAATTCATTGTGGGCATTCCCACTGCACGCGCCACGCAGATCATTCATCGCTGTCCTTCCGGGCTGTCCCCGGGCCTGACGTGCCCATCGCTCGGTCTATAACTCCGCGCTCGAGTCCGAACCCCCCCCCCCCCCGGGGACCGTGTCCCCGGACCGGAACATTACAATGCATATTAGACAGGGCGCGTGACGTGGGCGACTCATTAGACAAATAGGCCGGCTTTGGCGAGCCGCGCCCGACCGCGGCTCCGTGTCGCCCCAATGAAGTCGGCACCGACGGCGCCTGGCCGCTCAACTGCTGGACGGAACGGATAGTGAACGAACGGGCGGGGAGGCCATGGTGAATAAACCCAGGTGTTTGAAGGAACGGAAGGAGCTCGAGTGGGGATTGTCACTGTTGCTTATCTTGATTGAGCCCCATTTAGAGTTTTAGTGATGTTTTATATTGCTCGTAGACTTAGGAGTCGGAAGAAAAGTGGCTCGGGCAAGCCGCTGGTCTGTCAGTGAGTGACCCGTTGTGTCCCGCCGGCAGGATTGTGAAGGGCTTTCCTCCTGTGACGCCGTACATCGGAGTCAGTCCCACGCTCTGTTACCTGCTGCGGGAGAAGAAGCCGCTCTGCTGCCTCCAACTCGCCCAGGTGAGTGACGCTGCGAGACTGAGAGTGACACCCTGACACTGAAAGTGACACCCTGACACTGAGAGCTCACACCCTGACACGGAACTGACACCGCCCTGACACCGACCTGACACTGCAGTACGGTTCAGCCGACAGCCAACAGTCGGGGTGGGACAGCCAGGCCGTCAAGCCGATGGGATCGTTAAGTCAATGACCTTATGTGAAACGAAATGGTAGAGGGAATATATCACTTGACTGCCTCTGCTCACACGCGTTGCAAAAAAGGCCACGCTACCAATCACATTAGTTAATTATTATGAAGGTAAAGTCACGTTGGGCAAAGGTAGCAGCACATCCGCATCAATAGCAGCACGGAGCAATGCGGAATGCTTTAGCTCGATTGCCCTCCGGAATTGTTTCCGTGGGCAGACAGTATCGGCCCTTGGTAAGTGTGGGATGTTGTTGTCCATTTTCCCACTCTGGTCCGCTCGCACGGACGGTAGGCTGGCCGACTGATGTCCGCCGGGCCGTTCTAATGGCTGATTAACGTGGCTGGATGGCGTGCGCTGGCTTCCTCCCTGACGGCTAATGAGCTACAGCCTCCTTACAGAGAGTACCGAGAACGAGAAAAGGGAGAGAGGGAGCCAGAGGCGAGAGAGCGGTATGATGAACAGGACGGCCAATTATGTCAGTTTTGTACCGCATTGATAGCGTCTTCGGTTTTCAGAATGCGATGTTTGATTCACAAATGGTAGTGTTAATTCTGTCAAACAAAGCTATGCTGTTACCTAGCCCTCAAAATAAAAAGCTACGACGTTTTGTCACCGTTCCCATAATCAGCAGTTTTTTATCAGCTCTTTATTGAACAAATCTGGCGTCACAACCTTCTAAAGTTAGCAGATCTTGATCTAGTTTTCATTGTCCGGTCGTACAGACTCATGCAAAAAAAAAGAGATTTCTAAGTTCAACGTTATTTCCAAAATGCAACATTTTGTCATCTAGGAAGCAGTACATGTATGTATAGCTTCCAATTCCCAATGGCCTTGTAGATTGTCTGAACTAAGCAACAATCAGAGTTATGGATGTTGAACTACCCCTGCCGTTTGATGCCGTTTGGACCGTTATTTCGCTGCCGTGTGGTGATACGGTCTGGCTTCTGACACTTGTAGGGCCGTCCGAGTACACACTGATGTCCGACTGCATTGGACGCAGATGACGTGTTGTGTTCCTCAAACGGCCGGTGCCGCCTGTCGTGCTATCGATCCGCGCTGCGGTATAGGCTGTGCCGCATCGATCCCGTGTAATGCGGCACAGTCTATCGACGCAGGCCGGCCCCACGGCCGATAGCCATCGGACCATCGACTGTGTGTGGGCAGCGCAACCGCTGTAGTAGGCGCGACACTGTTAAATTTTGATTACGAGGAGCATTATGAGGTATTGTCCAACAATGACTTTGAAGGACTATGCTGGCACGCATTGCAAAGTTTTGTCCAGATAATTACCGAGCGCATTCAACGAAGGGATAACAGTTCATCCAAGCTGAGTGCATGTGCCACTTGTTGACATTAAACTTAAAGTATAAAGGTCAGTGTTTAATTAAAAAAAATCTTTCATAAGCCATAACCATGAAGTTAATGTTAAAGCATAAACAACTGAGCTACGGGACAGACCGCTTAGCGGGGGCTCTGTCCTTGTAAATCCTTCCAATCAAAAGGTTCGGACTAAATTTATTAAAGAAAAGTTTTGTTTCCGACGTAGATAAAACAATTTAAGTTTAAACAATTTATTTTCTAGGTAATACTATTCTGAACCCAGCGACAAGAGCGGAGGGCCAGCTTCACCTAAGTAATGGAGTCTGCATTGATCATAGGCCGCAGCTCTGTCTGCAATGCGCACTGACCTGCTCCAGCTCTTGTCAGAGTTGGATTGAACGCTTCAAAATTGGTATCCAAGCAGGATATCACAGACAAATACTCCAGAGTCGACCAGCGCTCACTGCCGGCTGCCACGGAGGCCAGTGGCGCAGCTGTGACGGACCGTCTCCGTCGACAGGTGTGCGAACACTGCTCGTACCGCTCAGCCAAGGAGTACAGCTGGCAGAACAAGGCCGTCATCCTGGCCGCCGACTTCGCCTCCAACGGCATCTACAACTTCATCATCCCGCTGCGGGCACACTTCCGTCCCAAGTCGTCTCTGAACCCCATCATCCTGCTGCTGGAGCGGCGGCCCGACCTGCCCTTCCTGGACGCCATCAGCTACTTCCCGCTCGTCTATTGGATGCTCGGATCAATCGACTCGTGAGTAGACACACGCACGCCATAGGCACACAGTGTGGATGGGGGGAATCAGGTCAGAGGCAATAGTGGAAGCATGGGTTAGGTCAGCAAAACTGGAATTGTTTTTCTTCCACCTTAGTTTTAAGGATTGGTTGATTGAGCTCTAGCTATCACTTTTCTAGTCATTTGATGAATTATAAAATTATAGTTTCAGTCTAAGAGTAGCCGCTGTGATATCCTTCAAGATTTTCTCGTCGGTATGTCTAGAATGACTAAGATCTTGCGACGTAACCTCTCATCACCTATGGCGACGCTCTGGTATAAGCGTGCTTCCCAACCAAATACCAGCGTCCTTCTGTGGCCATGACCTACATATGGCGCTAAAATCGAGCCATGAGTGTGCCATTTGCGGTCTCTGGAGACAGCAATGTCGTTGAAACTGTGTCAGTAGTCCATCGACCGCGGCATCAACCCAGTTTCACAAATACCGAGAGGATTTGCCCTCGCTTCCTTGCGATCATACGATAAGGAGACGACCTGGAGCTCATGTTCTGTAGCGTGACCTCCGTTTTCTGTCGTAGCCATAATGAACAATGCAATGTTATACCAAGAACCACTTGTGGAGCAACAAAAGCGACGCAGTATATTGGTTACGACGCTGTATCACCAAGTTTGCATTAAATATGTAAGTGCAATTATTGTCTTATCAAAACAATGATGCACTGTAATGATTTTGCAACGCTTTTTACTTATTAAAATTGCCAGTTGAGCAGACAAAACAATTGGAAAACACCGTCGCACGTATTCACAGCCCCACGCTATGCTGGTATATCGTTTTTACACCATCCTCTCTCGGTCTCCAAGGAGCCTTTCATGTTCGCGCGTACCATTGATTGTCTCACGCGCAGATCCACACCGGCAGTCTGCCATCAAAGGGGGTCGGACCTGTTGTGTCATCAAAGACCCGCCCGTCTCCAGATCCGCCCCATGTCGGCTCTGATCGCACCCTCCAGATCTCCCCCCACTCCTCTGATCACGGTTCGCCTGGCCGTCCTCCTGACGACGGTAACATCACCTCAGACGCCGTACAGCCACAATTGGCCCGTGACGTCACGGATAACGAGCGACTGTCATCTCTAACTCGGGAGTAGGGTGAAAGACAGTCGGGCTAGTTAAATCAACACGGGCATGTGAGCATGAAGCACGATGCGCGGACAAATAAGGTTACGGTGAAGGAAAGATAGAATAGTGTCAGAAAATAGACATGGAGCGAAGTGGCTCAAAGTGCCTCTCTCCAGATCACCTCTCTCCAGAGCGTCCCTCTACAGAGCGGCTCTCTCCAGAGCGCCTTCCTTCGCTGTCAGTAGCTCAGAGCGCACCTCTCCCCGCTGTCAGTGGCTCAGAGCACCTCTATGTCAGCGGCTCAGAGCTCTCATCTCGCTCGCCGCTCGGAGCTGCCCTGCCGCCCGCTCTCCGGAGCCGCTCGCTGAGCGCCGGAGCGTGCCTGGACGGGCGGCCGGCGCGCTCTCGGCTCCGGCTGATTGCTCTCGGAAAGGTGCCGGTGCGCCGGGCTCCGGTGTGCTGCCGCCGGCGACAGAGCCGGGTGAGAGCGTCCCACGCCGTCTGCTCGGAAACAGACGGCGCACGGCCGCGCAGCCGTGACAGGTTTAGATGGATTCGTGACCGGCGAGGCCGCTGTTGTGTAATCCGAGGGTAAAGTAACATAAAGGTAGCTGAAGCAATGGGCGAGGGTGACTTCCATTGTCGTGTTAAATCACATATCTCTGCCATATCAATAACATCTAGCCTGAAAGGATCTTGCATAATTAATTTTTGATTAACACTTTCCGGTGAAGTTGTTTCAGATATTGACCTTTTGAGCTATTGTTTGTGCCCACGATAGCTTGCAGGGTATATTTTCATGCACAGCAATTTCAGCTCGATGCTCCAAACGGCCTGATCTGATACCCGTCTAGCCACGCTAAGGGTCACTACGCCGGTGCTATTTTCAAACAATGGGTCCTCATTCATTCTCCAGTCAATCTCCCTTGTTTTGCTGCCCGAGATGTGTTTGTTTCGCCCATTCGCTGTCAGTGGATGTAGTTTATTGCTGTTTTGCCAGTCACTGGGGCCACTCTTAGTAATTTGCCCTGACCAAATGCAGGAAATTAGTAGATTTTACGGTATAAACCATTTCGGATTGATCTAACAGCCTTGTTTTGTCATGATTTTCAAGAGGTTTGTATGAAACCTGGTTTTCATTCAGCATGAGGACTTATTGTGCTTGCTATTGTCTTTTTTGTTGTTGGAGTAGCCTAAAGGCGAACTTGTTGTAATCGTCTGGGAAATCGCAGCTAAGAACCAACATAACTATCAGCAGTACTGAGGCTGGCGTGCTCCAGCCTCCTGATCGCGTCCTCGCGTCGTCGACCGGCTGACACCCCTCCCCTCCCCACGGTGACCTGCAGGCTGGACGACCTGTGTCGGGCGGGCATCAACCTGGCCGAGAACGTGGTGGTGGTCAACAAGGAGCAGAATAACGCCATCGAGGAGGACTCGCTCTCAGACTCCAACACCATCGTCGCCGTGCAGACCATGTTCAAGTGAGACCGACAGACCGAGCGCAGTTAGGACGTCCGTCTGTGTTTTTCATCCATTTGGCGTATGATTTGATTGTTGGCCCGGTCATTACTTGGGTTTCTCCACTGAAGGTTGCTCACTCTTCGTGTGCCTTGCCGTGCGAGCCAGTGTTTTTCATGTAGCCAGCGACCACACATTAACTGGTCTGCGCGCAGAGAGCTTCCCACCCGTCAGCGGGGTTGGCGACTCAAAACAGCCCCCCCCCCCCGGCGGGTGGAGTCTGGTCGATTCTGAGTTTAGAGAAACGGTCCCACTGGGTGCATCGTTCACTGATCATTGCCTGAGGGAGAGCCGCGCAAACCAGACTGAAAACAGCCGAGTGGTATAGACCACGGATTGGGATAAACCGACCGCCATCCGTGATTGTCGGACTTTGTTGGACGCCTTAGACGAACGGTATTATGCTGCTACAATATTTTACATACTGTTGTGTGGATACTTTTTTACTGCTGATAATAATCAGTATGAGTGAGACTGTTCAATAAAACGTTAGAGGCTTACACTTGTAGGACCGGAGCTGTTTCTCTCCGTCCGTTTCAGTCTTCCCTCGAATATCATCGTGCTTTGTTTTCTTTTCAGATTCTTCCCTAGCATCAAGATAATCACTGAGCTGAGCCAGTCTTCAAACATGCGGTTTATGCAGTTCCGAGCTCAGGACAGCTACGCACTTCATCTGTCGAAAATCGAAAAGGTGTGGTTTTCTATAGAATGTGGGCATAACTGTGTCTCAGCAACCCTTGCTTTTTGCCACGGCTAATTGGTTTTGGTTTTATAAATGTAAACAACATTAGATAAATAACCTTACTTGTTTATTTCGCATTACATTTACATTTATATTATTTGCTCATACATTTATGTGAAAGTTCGTGGCATTGTTTCAATTTTGGTAAGAACATTTCCAAAACAATCATTTTATTCGTTGAATACTAGATGTCTTGAAATCAACTTATCAATGGCCATAGTTTTGGAATCCTCAGTGATTGGTAAAAAAAGTTCGTTTTGAGAAACAATGTCGTTTTATCTGTCGCTTAAGTTCTTAAGTTGTATCATGTCTATGGTTGGTTTATGTCTTTTTGTTGCCGGTACAAGGTGAGTGCTTCTATCGATGGCTTCACTACATTTGCTTATACTCGTTGATTCGCGGTGCTTATTATCCGTGCCTGTTGTACAGTTTGAAATGGAAACTAAAGAAAAAATAAGTTGTTTAGGTACCAAATATTTTCAATTCATTTTCGGCGTGTGCTTGGTAGACATTGAATAGCTTTTGAATGTCATTTGATGGCTTTTTATAGTAAGGTGACATGTTTTGTAACATAAAACACATCATTAAGCCGTTCGTTTTCTATGTATTATCCAGCTATTAACGCCTAACGGTCTTATGGCGTTTTATATTATTTAGGCTATCAACAGGAGTATGATGGCCTTTCATTCTTGATACTTCTTATCACCATTTATCTCTTCTTTCATCCTTTCGTGACTCAGATGTTTCTTATGCCTGAAACAGACTCTTTCAGCAGTCAGGAAATCGCATGCAAGAGCCTATTCAAATACATGGAAGCACGCTCGCATCAATCGCACGCACCTCCCGGATGCGATTGATGCGGGAAGAATTATAATGTATTTGAATAGGCTCTCGGATGCGATTTCCTGAACACGGAAAGAGTCTGTTTCAGCCTTTAGGTGTCTCGGAAATAGCCGGTAGCCATTTGTTTGTATATGTGAATATCTTTCTTTTGTTTTTTTTTTTTCGCTTTATGTTCGCAGGATCTGTTCAGCCAATAGTTCGTACATTACACTGGGTCTCAAATCTGTCCGATATTTCTTCCGCATGATGCACCTTAAGTTGGAATATTTTGTACCGCTAATCTATACGTGTATGCATGGTGTTCTGCGTGAGGTGTTTCGACTACTTCTTGGTCTGTTCTTAACCCCTTCTTAAACCTTAACCGCTTACGCCCACCAAAGAGCTCGCGAGTGACCCAGTGCTGCGTCTTCTAGGCATCTTTCGTCGACAGAAGGGGCACCGTTCGTCTGACCGAGAAAAGGTCCCTTTGGAGCAGGACATTTGATAAAGTAACTAACCGTAGCTGCCCGAGTTGGTGTGACTAGCAGTGAGACAGCTCTGTGTTCCCGGCACAGTCCGCCCCCCTGCAGCCGCACTGTGTACCATGCCGCACGCTGACGCCTGCTCGCAGACCGCCGCCTCGGCGGCCCTCCCTCCCTCCCTACCTCCCGGAATGGTTAGACGCGCCTCTAGTCGCTGCCGTGACCCGTGGCGCCGGAAGGCCGCGCCTCCAGTGACCGCCGTGTTGTCCGTCCGTTGTCATAGCCACAGTGCAGTGGAGAGCGGCCCAAGCCGACTGTAGATCGCTCTAGTGCCGCCTCAAGGCTGTCGGGCCGAGAGGACTCGGTGTGTGACCGGCCAGCCTATTGATCTGATCAGACTCATAACGACGGGTGTGCGATTGGCTCGTCAAGGCGCGGTGCCTGCTGTCGGTGCCCCGGCTGCGCCTTGGGCAGCCACTCTGACGTCAGAGCCTGTACTCTGACCACCTCAGACCCAAGCCTAGTGGATCGGGTGTCAGTAGCGCAATAAATAAAACATACGGTCGACGTTGATCATTTGCTCATAATAGTGGCTGCCATTAGATATGCTCCTTTTACTGAGTTACCTGTTGTGAGTTTCAGCTAGCATTATTAAATTATTCAACATGTAGATTCACTGCACTTAAGACAAAAACGCTTCGTATTTATAAGTTGCTTTCATTTATTTGCATAGTTTAGTTATAGTCTAACTAAATAATCACATTGGCAGGCACAAGAGGTAACTAATGAATTTAAGAATTTCAGAATATTAGTTGTTTCGAATACCTATGGAATTGAAAAAAGCGAAATGATAGACGATTTTAACAGGCGTTAGTGCTGGTCTTGAACAGAATAGCATGCAGTCTCTATGTATATGTTGCAGGCACTTTAGAAAATCAGTCATTTTGTAAAATGCCTAGGCATTTTACAAAAAGACGGCTGTTTGAAAAATGACTGAACGCAACCAGGCTTTTTTCAAAATGGCTAGCCATTTTACAAAATGACTAGGCATATTGCAAAATGCCTGACCAGCATGGAACGTAAATCCCACTACAGATACTATGGCCAACAGTTTTTGGACGTCTTCCTATACCCTATAGGTACGTGTTCCGCCTGTAGCTGATCGATTTGAAGCTCTGTGATGACGACAATGCTGAGTAACGACCCTCCTCAGTTGACTGGACAGCGCTCATTGGCTCTAAGGAACTTCAACAAGTCTACCCAAGGCCTAGTCCACGCAATTGTTTACAGTATTATTGTTTAGGTTTTCTTCCTAACTTTTCTTTGGAATAAAAAAGCTCTCCGATCGCAATGAATATTAAAGCAATGATTAACAACACACGATTATTTTGTTCTGTGGCAACAGCTTTGAGTACCTACTTGCATGGTCCCAGTTAAAAATATTAAGCTCCACATCGGGGGAATCATCAGGTCGCTTGGCGTAGGACGAGAGCGTTGGTTTCAGAAGACACTAACGCTTAAGTGTGTGGGATCGAATCCTCGCGACCTCTTATAGTTTTACAGATACAGGCCGGCATAGGGCCAGTCGTTTGTTGACGCTCCAGATCGATCATTTTAAATCCAGCAGCGTCGCTGACGTGGGGGTTGGAAATGTCGCGGGCCTGCACTTATCAAAATAGAGGTAGGTATGGACTTCCCACTGCTGGACTCCTCTGGTCATAATGCTGGACTCCTCGGTCCACCTACACGCTACCAAAACGTATATAATTAGGTACTCGTATCTACAACACGCTGCTCATTCATTTTGTAAAATGGCTAGGTATTTTGTAAAATGCCTAGGCATTTTGCGAAATGACTGGAGAGTCAGTCATTTTGTAAAATGCCTAGGCTTTTTGCAAAAAGCCTGGAAAATCAGGCATTTTGCAAAATGCCTAGGCATTTTACAAAATGACTGGTTTTCTAAAGTGCCTGCAACATATATACAACTTATTTCAGTATTGATATGCATTATGCAATTAATTTTGTCTGAATGTTTCTAAAAAAGCCAGATTTTTGTGACAAAGTATTCTCGGCCAACGTAAAAAAATATTGTTTTGGGCCAGCCCATTATCAATTCACACTTAGTACTTCATAATGGGTATATACTTTAGCCTAAAAGTGATCACTACTTTCCGAAACATTTTTATGTGATTCTCTAAACGCACAGCGTAAACTTCTTGAAGCTTCAGAATAACGCATTTACGCACAATTTTGTTTTTGCTCAGGGATTTTTATCATGCTAATTTGGAGAAGGAAGTGCTACAATATTTCCCGATTTCTTTTATTTTTCGGCTAGTCTTTTGTCACTGCTGGCAGCTTAGGCTCAGGCTGGCATCCAGTGGATCTCCCCGCCTCACAGTGAGAGTTCCACCCCACCTGCATCATCATATAGATTACCATATCAGCCACTTTCGAAAGTACTTATGCCCTCTTCTGATGTCTTTTGGTGATGAAACACCCCTGTGACTAATACCCTTTTGTGACGTCTCCGCCCCTCGTGAGTGTCCTGTGACGTCTGCGCTACCGTGACCCCCGTCTGTGACTGTGGTGACCTTGTGACTGAGGTGCCCCCGTGACTGTTACCCCGGCTGTGACTGAGGCGCCCCCTGTGACTGCGGCGCCCGTGTGACCCCCACCTGTGGAGACTGCGGCGCCCGCTGGGACTGTGACGGCGGCGCCGGCTGTGCCTGTGACCCGGCTGTGACGGCGGCGCCGGCTGTGCCTGTGACCCGGCTGTGACGGCGGCGCCCGCTGTGACCCCCAGCTGAGAAGGGCGCGCGGCGCCGGCGGCGCAGACACGGCGCCGCTGCTGGGCTCTGACGACGTCGGCCGGCTGTTTCAGCGAGAGAAGGACCGCGGCTCGCACATCTCCTGCATGTTCCGGCTGCCGTTCGCCGCCGGCTCCGTGTTCAGCGCCAGCATGCTGGACACGCTGCTGTACCAGGCGTTCGTCAAGGACTACCTCATCATCTTTGTGCGGCTGCTGCTGGGTATCGACCAGGCGCCCGGCTCAGGGTTCCTGACCTCGGTAAGAGACGCACGTACGGCGGGAGCCAGGGTGAAACGGGGCCGGCGGAATCGATAATTAAGCGCTCTGATGCATACATATTTAGTTATTTGCAGCTCAGCATTGGTGTGAGATGTGAATGCGCATTGTTGCTGAAATGTGTGAGCATTTATTCATCCGGTTTCATTTTAGATAAAGTGCAATTCCCTGTTCCGCAATAAGCATTCCAATCCTCCTAAGTGCCAGGTCTTCTCTAGTATACAGCATTTGAGTCACAAAATTCAAATATCGCTGCGTTTTGTGGATCAGTGAATACCTGTGACTAACGGCCCGATGGCATTCGGGAGCTAGAAGCCTGCAGTGGTATGCTGTGCCGGATGACTCAGAAGTCCTGCGGCACAGTCTACCAGTACAGAGAGAAACCGGTGAAGATGTAGGGAGCTGCTCGGCAGTATAAATGTTACTGTTACTGAGCACGCTCAGTGACAGTGACCTTTGTGACAGTAACAGCACTGTGGTTATTTCATATTGTTTGATGAAATAATAAAGGTCCGTAATGACCTTGCTATTTGTAATCAAATAACAAATAACAAGCTCAATAATGTAATGGCAAAAAATCATCCATTATCATGCACCTAACTTTATTGATTTTATTTATCAAATTTGATAGCCCTGAGCACTTGTTCATGCACAGCACAATGCTGCGGTGCTTACATTTGGTGCTGTCTAACTGCTTAGATGATCAGTTATTACAAGGTAGTTATTTTATTTGACTTGATATCATATGCTTTATGACTAAGTCTTATTACCGAAAATTGCGATAGCTCCCTAGACGATTATTTAGTCTTGATCGACGCAAATAGCCGTAACAGCATGACCGATGGGCTCATTTGGGTCCATGGTACCGTACCTATTATCCGTTTCCGCCCTCTAAGGCAAACCCATGCAATTATTGTCCAAATATGTTCTGAATGCTGGTCGGCTGGTCCTTTTTGTTTTGGTGCTGGATAAGACAAACTGCATCCCTAAGAGATCACACTATGTAGTTTGTTGGAGTAAATACAATGTTCCATTAATTTAAGCCGTATGTGCGCTGTTTGTTTTTCGCTGCAGATGCGGATTTTGCCGGGCGACATGTGGATCCGAACGTACGGTCGTCTGTATCAGAAGCTGTGTTCGACCACCTGCGAGATTCCCATCGGCATTTACCGCACCATGGACACGTCGGAGAGCGCCTCGGACCTGGTGGGTACCCGACCTCCGACCTCGTGTGTCGGCTCTGTCGTCGAAACACAAGAGAATGGTGGCTTACTGTACTCGCATAGGAAAATGGCAAGGAAACAAATAAACTGAAATAAAAAATATTCATTCAAGAAAGATTTATAACATTTAACTATACATATAATACACATAAATGTACACGATGTATGATGTATGTATATACACATTAAATACACATAAGTCGAGCTGAGTCCCGTGTAGCTGTGATTGATGTTCATTTTCCCACAGTGTGGTCAGCAGGAGGACCCGAAGGCGAATCACTCTCAGCTGATTGAGAGGGCCGAGATCGCCCAGCTGGTCAGGAGTAGGATGCAAAGTCTGGGTGAGTGAGTAAGTGAGTGAGTGAGTGAGTCAGTGAGTCTATATTTCATTACTCATTTCAGTTGGATAATGGATAGTAATAAATTACAATGATATTCTGCCTCAGGTGGCGGGCATTTATCCAATGATTTCCATCTATTCTGTCTGGTGACGCCGATGTTTCCTCTCGCAGGTTTGCCGGTGGAGGACTACGATGACGTCTCGGAGAAGCGCGGCAGCATCAGTTACGTCATCATCAACCCGAGCTGTGACCTGAAGCTGGAGGAGGGAGACATCGTGTACGTTACCGAGTCGCCAGCTGTGTGTGTGGTAGTCGGGCGCGACCGGGTTTAGGGACATTGTGTAGTTTTAATTGATTTATTTCATTTGAAATGGAAACGTGACATAGGGTATATGGATAAACGTAAGTGCAAAACCTCGGCCAAATAGAACACATAAAACTGCAATCCTCGTGCAAAATAAAGCAAAAACATTTTAGCATTTCACGTTTCGCTTTAAAATGAAAAACGTATCCAAAAAAACGTATCCAAAAAGTACTATGCTTTATTCTTTATAAACGGCAGACGACAGTCAAAACGTTAAAAGACCCATGAAAGCTCGAACCACTAAGCCGATTAGAGTGAGCCGTCTTTTACGGAATGACAGTTCCAAGAATAGCCTGGAAACGGGCGTCAGTGGTTAAAGGAGGATATGAAGTCAAAAGGTAGGCGGGTCAAAGATAGCATAATGTCTCAGCTGATGTCCAAATTCTCCTATCTAGACAGATGAAATCAACGGTGTGACACTTCAAGCTGCTGATTGCATAACCGATAGTAAAAAGCTGATCCAGTTCCATCGTCTCGGGCCAACTGGCGACATCGCCTGTAATATCACTCGATGCTCAGTAGCCGACGCTGTTCGTGCCTCTGACGATGTAATCCCGAGCCGGACCTCTAATCTGGAGCCGGGGTCTCAACTCTCATATCTTTGTGAACAGTGCGATCTTTAATATTTGTTGTTTTGCTGTCTAAGACTTTGCAGTTCGTCATCAAAATCGTCAAAATATTTATTGTTCAAAGGTTTTATGCTTACTGGTTCACCTCCTATAATTCATGTACTTTTGTACCAGAATACTCTTGCGGCTCTCCCAGTTCTCTCGCTCACGCCGCGCCTTCCCTCCCTCAGATACCTGATTCGGCCAAGCCCGTTCTCGGCGCAGAAGACGTTCGAGCGGCACAACAGCCGGCGAAAGTCCAACATATCCATGTGCGACCCGCGGCGGCGCGGCAGCGCGTGCTCGCGCAACACGGTAGCCAAGAGCAACTCGCTGAGCCTGCCGGACAGCCCGCACCAGAATCCGCCGCACCAGCGGGCGCGCTCCAGCTCACTGCGCGTCGACGACATCCTCATGAAGGTCAGTGACGGTGGGCTGATGACGGCGGGATGATGGCGGCGGGATGATGAAGGTCAGTAGAGGCAGAATGACGAGAGGAGGACTGAAAAGAATGGTGACGGAGGAATGATAAGGTTGGTAGCGGCGGGCTGATAAGGTTGGTAATGGAGGACTGATCAGGTTGGTAGCGGTGGGCTGATCAGGCTGGTAGCGGCGGGCTGATAAGATTGGTAGTGGAGGACTGATAAGGCTGGTAGCGGCGGAACCTGAGGGCGACACGGTGATGCGGTCCTAGGGCGGGCTCAGGCGCGAGCAAATGAACAGATGAAACACCTGACTGACATGCTGGGATCCCGATACATTTTCACTAGATGCATCAGACCTGTTGATGCCATTTTTTAGTATCTTATCAATATCTGAGTTTTCTCCCTTAAATCAGTATGCAAAAGGGCAGTAGTGAGATGAAGAAACCCTGAAAATGCCACTTGAGTTGTTGTACTGTTTAGTTCCAAAGCTGCGATGCAGCACATTCCTCTAAAACTCTTTCTGCCTTCTCAGCAGAGCGGTCTGGCGTTCGGCTTACGTGGCTGAAATCTTTCATATCTACCTCTAACACTCACGACTGTCCTGTTTCAGCCTTCAGGGAAGATGATCACGTTTGAAGTAACCGAGCACGACTCCTAACTGTCTCTCTCTTTGATTGCTGGGCTGTGATGAAGGCTATGCTTTGGCGTGTACATGCGCACCCGTAGGGATGACCATGCGTGTTTCCCTGCCCAAGCGCCGCGTAATTAGACGGACTTCCATTGTAGAGCAGGCCCGGACAAGGCTGCTGTCAATAGACAAGCACGAACTACTAACAGATAGGCCCATATCACCCTTCAGCCTGGATTTGTCTAACCTGAGCCGTCCTATGTCATAGCAATAATGAAGGCAATAACTTTCACCTGCCTGCACATTACGACGTTTTTAAGAATCACACTTACAAGCTTGGTATTTGCGCGCATTCAGTGATACTACTACGCACCAGCGATCAGTTGGCTGGCACCGAGTTACGTCATGTCCTCTCCCACTAGGACGCTGATTGGTTTGCTGCAACTGACAACGCTTTGCATAAGATCCCCCTCTCAAATTCACCCATCCACAGTTCACGGTCCCGCACCCTTGCCGATGCCACATAGTGCCCCGCCTCCCTGCCTGGTCGGTTGGCGCGCGCGCTCCTCCGGCCGCCTGGCGCCCCCCACCGTGCACTCAGCTGGCCGCGCTCTGCCCGCGCAGCGCTCCAACTCGCTGCGACTCAGTCTGTACGAGAACACGCGCAAGATCTCCAGTCTGGAGGAGCTGGGCGGCCTGGGCGACACGCTGCCACCGCTGAACCCCAGCCTGCGCGAGCGCACCGTGCACATGCCGGCCACGGACAGCATCGGCCTGAAGGTGACGCCGCCCGAGGAGCACCAGGTGGCCGTGACGCTCGGCTCCGGCTCCGAGTCCTCCATCCCCAGCATTCACCTCGAGGTGGGTCCGACACAGCTATGTCAATACTCCTTCAGAGACTTTTAAAACTGAGAACCGTTTCTCATTTTGCTATGAGCATCACCTCTTGTTAACTTAGATAGCTGTGTCGTAGCGTGTCTTGAGGCTTCGAAAAAAAAGGTAGCTATTGTACCAGGCTTTTCGAAAATTGTATATTTTCATTTCAAGGAGGCGAAATTGTATGATATGAAGGTTCTCTCCAGTGACGTTCATGCCTTTGGTACCAAAAGTACCTACTTAAACCTATTGCTTGTTTGCTAGCTCTCAGTTATGATTGGGTCAAGACAGAATGCTTCCTATACTTAGCTTGCCTTTTATAGCCGTGCACCCTTTAACATTTGTTTTTATGACGATTAGGTAAATTATCATTAGTTAAGAACGCCCACCATAGTGAACGGTTTAGTGCTAAAATGTCATGACCCCAATACAATTACTGCATTAGTATTTATTATTTGTATATTAGTATATTATATATTTGTATATTATGTATATTAGCATTAGTATATTATTAGATTATAGTGGCAGCAGTTTTTTAGTGGGTTCGATTTTCATCAAACTTGATAATTACAAGCACCTAAATTAAACAGTAGTTCTTAAATGCCAGCCCAATTAAGTGCTGTCCGCAAGCTCCGATTCATAGCATTTCCCAAAATACCCACCCACGTGCCAGTGGATGAAATAAATCAATGATCAATAATCAATATTGCCTTTCTAGATAATGAACACCTTGCTTTGAACATCGGTTCTTGTAGCCAACCCAATGAGACCATGGAACGGTTCAAGTAATTGATATTCTTGAATTGATGATGATTCAAGCAATCAGGGGCGCGGGAACTACTTTCCGACTGGGGGGCACACCATAATAGAGATTAACCTAGGGTACCCCCAAATCTAGTTTTCTCACCGGTTTTAGGCCACTTATTTTTCACCCCTCAGCTTTTTCAACAAAAAAAGAAAACATTTGCAAAAAAAGTGTGGTATTCCGTCTCAAAGCTGTGGGGGCACCGCCCCCACGGCCCCAGAGTTGGGGGGGCAAGCTGCCCCCACTGCCCCCCCGGCTCCCGCGCCTATGCAAGCAATTCAGGTATTTAGTAGTAGTTGCAGTCTTTGCCCATCCCCGGGACTCCTCCGTCACTGTCCTCCGGTGTGACGGACTGTCTGGCGGCAGGGCACCATCGTATGACACGGGGACTCCAGCACCGATTCAGTGCCGTCGACATCCAGTGATGAGGAGGCCGACCCCGAGTGGCGGCCGGTGGCCGGCCCGCGGCCCGCTCCGGCGCCCGGCGCGCCGGCCGGCCCATAACGCCGGCCAACGGGGGCACGGCCGCGGCACGGCGGTGGACTCCGTGGACCAACCTCTGACACTGGAGATGGTGGAAGCTCGGCCGCTGGAGATGATCCTCTAAATGGCCCGCGATGAGCCCCGAGCAGCTGTGCTGACAAATATCAGTCGTTGACCCGCGACCTCTGACCCGCCCGTTGACCTGTCTGCTGACTCTATTGTGGAATATTTTCCGAGTGCTGTGGGCGCGGCTCTGCGGTGCTGTGTGACAGGTTTGTGATCTCGGCGGTCGGCGTCAGGTCGGCTCCCTCACAGTGATAGTAGGCCGAGAGTTCCCTGTCCGTGCGGCGGACAGCCGTCTCCGGCACAGCGTCTGTTTGTGCGCGTGTGTGTGATCGGAGAGTGATGAACCTGCAGTCAGCGTCGCCCGACCCTCCCTGGAAGGACCGGCTGCCCTCCGCTGCGCGTCTCCGGTGGTCCCTCCGTGCGGGATAATCGTCATAGTCGGGTCTGATTCTGCGTATTTGAGAGATCGCTGCTGTGAATCGGTGATCCTTTACCGAGGCTATAAGGCAGGGTGAGACAATGTTCAATGCACCGACACCCCACACAAGATGTGACTTTGCACAGGAACACTGTGCATTGAAATATCAATCGGCCCAATGACTGATACGAATGCAGTAGCTGTACAGGAAGTAAAAAGCTAGTCCGATATTGTCACTAATTAATGCGTAATATGCGATTGGCCATTCGACCATAATGGCTTTTGTTCAGACATAACATAAAACAGTTTTTATTATCACAACCTGACGGCAGCACTGCGTCACGTTGCACATGTTGCATTCTTTGCAGCGTCATATCTGGTGTTTTTCGGTACAAAGGAGGTGCTGGGGAGAGCCAATTCACGCCAACTCAGCCCGTGGTATCCGCTGGGTTACGGCCGGATCCGGTCATAATTAGTATTTATCTTCCTGTTCCCGTCGATGACTCATCAAGAATTAGTATTATAAGAATATACTTCGGTCTCCCAAGGTCGACACCGAATTGTCATGCATTTTTTATATGTGCTTTAAACGTTTTAGCTGAAACTACATACACTCAGCACCCGACATTTTTGAGTTGTGTTTATGAGATAGGTGAAACTCTTCGACTTTCCGTCATACGCTTACATACTGTCGTGCGCGTATATTCCCAAACAACTTTCAACAAACCACGTGTCAGCCCCGCAGACCGGCGAACAAAAGCACACGAGATGTTGTCTTCGTGAACGGCGTCTGAACCTGAGCCTGTTACGGTGTGTGTGTATGCGTGTGTAGCCCATGGGTTACCGGAGGAGCGGCCTATCCGGACGCGCTGGTGTGAGGAGGGGTGCTGAACGGAACGGACAGCGCCCGCCTGTGTCAATCTCATGTAGTCGCCTGTGTGGGCCGCGCGCTAGGTCGGCGGCCTCTAACCCGTCTGCTCGGTCTCCGGGAGTGCACCGAAACCTGAGGCCGACCGACACTGTGATGGCAAAGTGCGCCGACATATTTTTCACTCCACTATGCTGCTTATGAATATACTGGCACCCGGCCCGAGACTCGGCGTCTGTCTGTCTGTCTGTGCAACTGCGTATGGACGATCGTAGAAGTGCGTCCGTTGTCCATGAAAGTTAATGTTGGAATATAATATGCAATATGCAAGGTTTTAAGGTTACAAGGATAGTGTCCATAAGGGTCGTGTTTTGATTGGAATCACATAACGGCATCAAAGTTAAAAATGTGCATATTTATGTTTACAGCCTAATCCTCTTTTGAAATAGTTTATCAGCATTGACATATTGCATTTCCCTGATGCATTGCAGTGTGATATGCAGAAGCTTTGCTGACTTCATAATTCATTACCCAGTCACTGTGCTTTATGTCAGACTCCGATTACAAACTCAACTAGTCGTCTCTTTGTCAGTAATATATTTATTATTTTAGAAGTAGCTCTGTTCAGTTCAAGGATGTTCTATTGAACCTAATGGCCCTTTCACACGTAGCAACTTTTCAGTCGCCGGCGACAGCAGCAGTCGCCGGCGACCGCCAGCGACCGCCAGCCAACGATCGTGTGTGACGTAGGTATGACGTAAGCAAGTCGCTGGCGATCGCCGGGCCACGGCCGGGCAGTCGCCAGCAACTGCTTACGTCAGATCCGCGTCACAGGCCAGTCGCCGGCGACTCTTCTCGAGCAGCGGACGCCGCCATGACAGTTTTGTCCTTGGTGAGTGGTTTGGGTGATTTGTGATGCATTTTTTTCTTAAATTGGTTGGTGTGGCTACCTTAAATTTGTAGCACAGTAGCATGGGGATCATTATCTTGTAGTTTGCCTGTCGTGAAGCTGTTGTGACTTGAATTTAAGCTTGATTCGACAATATTGGAGGGTTTATGTCATTTGTGGCGCACTTGCCCATGATCACCCATGATTTTTATTTGTGATAAATATGTATTTTTTCATCAAAATTGAATATTTTAATGACATTGAAATTGACACTAGTTTCATAAGGTAATGAAAACTTGCTTGTTGTGTCACAAGAACATTGTTTACATTCAGTATCAGTGCCCTTGAGGACAAAGTACCCATCAGTCAGCTATTTGCCTACCTATGTCGTGCGACACAAGGAAATATTTGATAGCAACAAAATATTATATTGCTGCTTATTAATAAGCATGATCAAAATCAAGCAGGTAGCTTTGCAATTTTGTTATTGTTTCTGCTGGAGTTTTCCTTCCTTGGTACCATGGATAAACAACCCAGGCCAAACTTAATCCGCATTGGGTTCGCATGTGTGTGCGTGCTCACATGGCAATTGATAATCCATGGCTTATTAGTACATAAATAAATGCAGTATGCACAGTAGGTGGTATGTCATGTATTTTGGCAAGGTGGCAAGGTGGTATGTATTTTGGCTCTGGAGCTGTTTCCTATTCATTGCAGCAATGCTGCCGGCATGGCTTATGTGTACCATGCGCACACAAGCTCCACCAATGTAAAAATGCCATTTTCACACAAAACTCGTAATTGGAGGAAGGTATAGCAGACCAAGAATAAGCGGGCATTTGCTGCAGTGTGGAAAAAGTCACTAGAGGCTTGATACTTTTTTTACATGCAGCAGCCTGGAGATGTCCACAGAGGCATGCCTGAGGATGTCCACAGAGGTGGATCCAGGCAATAGTTTTTACAATCTTCTCCCCTTGTGCCCACTGTGTGTTGTGCTGACTGATTGTCCCCCTTCTGGCGGTGCCTAGACTTGCCTCTGCATATCTCCCCAGGCTGCTGCATAATGTCTAAAAAAAAAACCCTCAAGCCTCTAGTGACTTTAATCACTCCAGTCTCCACAGCATATGCCCACTCATGCTACAGCTGCCTTAACAATACCAAAATTAGTAACAATGGTCTCATAACCATATTCAGTAGGAAATGAGTTACCTAGAAAATTATATTAAAAAATACACTTGCTTTCAAAAAGAATGAGCACTGCCTTAAAATGCTAGGTGTGAAATAATGCTAGGTTTCTGAACCACAAATTCCAATTCTGTGTCATTGAATACTGATTGCCAATTGTGCAAGACAAAAAGCGTCAACAATGCTACATCAAGGATAATGATGACAAGATAATTCTCATTTTAGCCTGAAGTGTAAAAACCTACCATTAAATAAATCAACAACCAAACCTAACCTGATTTGGGTATTTGGGTAGTTTTTATGATGCTAAGCAATAGCCTATTCCAGGCTTCCTAATTTGCAGAACTTTTGGTTAAAAAATGATTTGTAAAAATGTATTTGAAGTACGTTCTGACATGTCCGCCCTCTGTGCCTGGCAGACAAGTCACAGCGTTACCTGATGAGTCAAGAGGTTCTGTACCTGATGTACCTGATCAAGAGTACCTGATGATTCTGCAACACCACCTGATGGCCAACTCGACGGCATTGCTGACCCGAAAAGGAGTCTAGCAGCTGAATGTTCAACTTCTGCCACTGCACTGTTGACTCTGCCTAGAGACAGCATCTGCACCACGGCCCAAAGACGATCTTCCGTGGGACGGTGTGCTGCGCACCAGTCACCACACTGACGGCGGTCACCTGTGTGCTGCACAACTTTCTGTGAGGTCAGGAGATCGACACTGACGGCCCCGGACGGTGTGCTCTGATTGCGCCGAGTGTGCTCCCGCGTGTCCGGGCCTTGATGCCAATACCGCACGCGAGGCGGCGCGCGTCCGCCAAGCCCTCACATACTGCGTCCAAGGTGCAGGTGGTGTTCGGTGACAGTGTGCAGCTTCTGCCGGCCCCGTGGACGGCACCGCGTGTGACCATGGCATGTGCATTCGATTTTCTGACATAAGTGCAGTGAATTCATTTGTCATTTTGCTTCTGAATGCTGTCGCCGCTCGGTAGGGTCGATTCTGCCAGAGTAAAGAGGTCGCCACGATCGGCGCCGGTGCGGCAAGGAGCAAGGCACTCAGCAATCGGCTGCCGGGAGGTGGCGGCGGCGGCGGCTGACGACTCGGGCCTCGAAAATCCTGTCGTGTGCGTTGCTGGCTATTATGCGTTGTTGGTGTGCGCTGTTTTGCAAGGCCTTTGGAGCGGCATGTCGAGTTTTGAGTTTTGGACGAAGGAGCCTTGGTGTTTTGTTGGTCTATTTTCGATAAAAACGGTCATGAAGAGTGAGCTGTGTCCAGGCTGATTTTAAGATTTCTGTCACAGTATTGTCACATTTGACCTAGGCTTGTGTCTTCTTGGGTATCGGCATATTGTGCCTCCGTCCTTGCCCCGTGCCCGCGCGTGCTGCATTTTTATGTGGTCGCGCGTATGGTGTCATATACTGCCACCTCGCCATGTTTAGTGTTATCCACTGTGTGAAAAAATGTATTTTGTTTGTTTCTTTTTTTTGGGGGGCCTACACTTGTGTTCCCCAATCCAGCGCTTTAGATAATACAGCATCTGTTTTTGACATAATGAAAGCCTGTGTTTTATGTGGGTGGTAGGCTTCGCCGTGCCTCAGGTCCGTTTCTGGCATTTAAATTTCTGCTACATTTCTAGAATGCCTTTTTCTGTTTTTTTTTCACATACAAAGCACGGTTCAAATGTGTGACCACAAATCACTGTGATTGTCCCATGCTTACCACCAACCATTCCTACAATGCTTATGTCGTTACAGCAAAGTTATGCATTTATTGAGAACAGGGTAGTAGTTGAATAAACAAGACAGGTGAGCAAAATCTGCAGCACTCGTAGTCTTGGCTGATGCGTTAAGAAAAATGGAGGAAGTGCAAGTACACACCACTTTTCAGTTTTATGCTTGAGTGCATTGAATTCCACTGTAGAAGAATCGCAGTTTGATTGTATTTTCATTTATATTATGTATTGTTTCAATAATAGATCCAATAAATATTATTCCAATATTATCTAGACGGTAGTTATCATCCTGCAAAACATGTCCAAATATTTAGTACCTTGAATATTGCGGTAAAATAAGCTGCGCCGCTGCATGTATCAGCAGCGCAATATCTGGTGCCAACTCAAGGTCAAGCGGGTCACGTGACAGTTGAGCGGCGGCTGACTAGAACAGTCGCCGGCGACTCCAAAATGTTGGAAAAATTGAACTTTCTCGGCAACGCCGACAACTCTTCAATGATTGGCTGACACGACTGCTACGTCACACCCCGGCGACTGGTCAGCTGATATCGACAACTGCGGAGTTGCCGGCGACTGACCCCGGTCGCTGGCGATCGCCGGCGACAGTTGCCGTCGCCGGCGACCGGAAAAGTTGCTACGTGTGAAAGGGCCATAAGGCACGGAGGGCAACGACCAGTTACTTGCCTTCTACCACATTTTTATGAAGATTTTCCATGCTAAGCACACAGTAAAGTTGTCTATATACAGAGAGTCAGAAAGCGGGGATGGTGATGTTGCCGGCGGGTCGGTTGGCTGAGTTCACTGGGCCTAAGTAAGCCACTGACCTCAGGTCAGCCGATCGTCCCGCTGACACTTGGTCGGGGGAGCCGCCGAGCCCGAGTGGCGGGACGCGGCGACTCCCCTCACCTCCCGGCACCGACCCGACCGTCCCCGCCTCCGTCCGCACCCGGCCCGACCGTCCCCGCCTCCATCCGCACCCGGCCCGACCGCCGGCCAGCGCTGACTTAACGGCGCCGCCACCTAGCACGTGGCAGCGGCTCCGTTGGTCTTAGCGACCACCCAGTTGGCGAACTTGGACACCCTGGCGTAAACGCCCGGGTAGGAGGCGCGGCCGCAGCCGCGACCCCACGACACCACGCCCGTCTGCGCGAACTGGCCGTTCTTCTGGTGGAACATGGGTCCGCCCGAGTCGCCCTGGCACGCATCCTGCACCCCGAGTTGGTTCGCGCCGCTGGCGCAGATGGCGTCTGAATCGATCTCGTCCGGCGAGTAGGACGTGTCGTACTTGCACCGGTCGAGGCTGAGCGTTTTCTCGTTGGTCGACTTGAAGAGCTGGGTGTTCATGTGGGCGGCGTTCTCGGCTGTCTTGCCCCAGCCGGCGATGGTCATGTCGACGTTGTCGCCAATGGGGGCCGAGTCGAGGCAAATGCTACCGACACCGAGCGCGGCGAAGTCGAGCGGACTGGAGAGCCGCACCACTGCCACGTCGTTGAGCGGTCGGCCGCCGCCCCGCGGGGTGTAATTATCGTGCAGGATGACCTCCGAGGCGGTCACGATGGCCGACTCGTCCGGCTGCGTGGTGTCAAAGTCGTTGAGGTAGGCGTAGACGCGCGCCGGATCCACGTGTCCCACGGCCGCCCGCTGGTGGTCAAAGCAGTGCGCGGCCGTCAGCAGGAAGACGGGACTGATGATGGAGGCGCCGCACGGCTCGTAGTACCAGGCGCCGCTCTTGGTGTAGTAGGCCGACAGGCGCGCGATGAACTGAAACTCGCCGCGATGCGAGGTCTCCCAGTTGATGCCGCGGCTTTGGAGGTCGTAGCCGCGGAACGGCGGCGAGCCGGGCACGGCGCGGGACGGAGGCTCCCCCGGCACGGCGCGCTGCGTGTGCCACTGGTGGCGCGGGCTCGGCGGCACGCGGCGGCTGGGGCCGACCTCCCGGTCGTCCTCAGACCATCTGTCCTGGTCCCAGCGGTCCGCCTCCTCCCGGCGGTCCTCGTACTGGGCGCGGTCCCAGTGGTGAGCCGCCCTCCTCTGCCAGTCCTGGGCACGGCCCTCTGACCTGTCTTCGTCCACCGCCCGCGGCCCGCTCAGTTTACGGTCCAACTCCTTCCTATCCTGGAGCTCGTGGCGGTCGTAGTCGGAAGACGAAGAGCGATCAGCGGGGACTCTTCGGCTCCCATCGTACACGCTACGAGACGGGAACTTGGACCGTGTTCCGTATTCCTTACGAACGTCCCAGCTGTCCATGCGCTGAAAAGCGACGCGGTAGTCAGTAAACCGCGAGGCTGAACAAGGGGAAAACGAATTAAAGTCATATTATTAAAAAAAAACATGTTCAAGTCATAAGCTTTTAGAGAACTGATTCAATATGTAGGTATGCAACATTTCTTTGGAGTATACCTGGGTAAGGGTATGGAGACATTAGTAAACGTGACGGCCAGCCACCTATTAAAGCACACGTGTTCGGTATTTCTGTGAGCCAACGTCAGGTGCCCGTGCCAGCGTTTTCCCAATGTAGGTGACAGGTGCCACAACGTCAAGCACACCATTTACTGTAAGCATCACTCCACATCTTATAATTTTCTTGGCACGGTGGCCGCTATCGAGCATAATGTGTAGAAGTTTAGTGCAACTTACCACGGCCACAGCAGTGGCCAGCAGACAGGCTGCCGCCAGCCAGAGCCTCATGTTCGCTGGCTCTGAGGTCCGGAGTCGGTGCGGAGAAGGGGTCGCCGGTTCGTCTCTGCCGCCGCTGCTGTCTCGGTGCCGGCCGCCCGCTGCTTATATGGGTCCTCTGGAGCCACCCACAGCTGGCGGTCCTCACAGTGTGACGCTGAGGTCGGCTGCGGTCAGCCGGCTCCGGCAGTCGCGCACCCCTCCTCCATGCCGCGAGTCACTCTAAGCCGTCACGGCGGACAGGAGCGGCACCGGCAGCCGTCTCGGAGTGACCGCAGACCTGCTGCGGTCCGCCGCGGCCGGCCGGCTGTCCCACCGCAGCGCGACGTCGGCCTCAGACTCTGACCAAGCTCTAACCGCGCGCCGCGCGGGCTGGCAGCGGCGTCAGACTCTGACCGAGCTCCGACCGCAGTCGGACATCGGGATCTGACTCTGACCGAGCGCCGACCACGGGCTGGCAGCGGCACCTGGCTTCGACGGGCAGCGCCGCTCAAGCGGGCCCAGAATGCACGATATTGCTATCTGCCGCCGGATAGAAGATATCACACTTTTGAAGCAGGGAGCTCAACTATACCTACAACTGAAACTTCAACGAAATTCACTATTCGTTCTCTGCTTGGCGCAGATGTGACTGCGAAGTGCGAGACATTGAAATGTTCAAATCGTATGGTAAATGGTATATTTTTTATTAATATCCTTCCCTTTTCGTGTTAGCTATCCTCCGATTAACGTAAGCAGTTTCCTTAATCCTTCCGGGACGTTAGTGGATCTGACAGTGATGAGAGAAAAAAAACAACAACAAAGAATCGCGTGATAAGGTAAGTTTTTTTCCCTCGACAAGATCAATCACACTTGTTCTCTTTCCTTCTTCGTGACTGTTCCTAGTGTTCCACCAGAATCACATCTCTTTCAAACGATCAACACGGTCGAACGAGCCTTCACCCGGCGCGCTACAAATAACCGGGGCTCGCCGTCCTCGGCCGGCTGAGCGCAGACCTGGGAGGGTAGGCTGTGCCGCAGCGCTCGGGAGTCGCGCGGCACAGTCTACCATTGCAGTGGATATTCGCTCCGCCTGTAGCCGCGCTTTCGGTGAGGCAGCATGTCCCAACAGAGTGCAACATACAGCAGTAGCGGTGGAACACCTTCAATTAAGGGGGGGGGGGCACTGCCGACTTTTGGTGCCATTCTTTCCATGCAACGCCCATAGGGCTAATGTTAAAATGCCAAAATCAAAGGGGGGCACGGTGCCCCGGTGCCTTCCCCGTTCCGCCGCCTACGACATACAGGGTTCGCAACGGGCCGAAAAATCACAGTCCAGCCCGGCCCAGGCCCATGGGTTCACAGCCCGGCCCAGCCCGAACCCGTTCATAGTAAAAGTGTCAAAAACCAGCCCGGCCCAGCCAGTCAAAAATGAATGGGAAAGAAACAATCTTTTGAGAGCAGCATGCACAATACATATCATACATGTATGTTTTATAATCATTAACGTGTTTTTGAGTCCTACACACTGCACAGTAATAGTCTACCTAGTTATGGTTTCTGTCTCAGTCGCGAAACCCAGCCCATTTTAAAAGTTCTCATGGCCCAGCCCGTCCACAGCCCATCATCCTTCATAGTTGAGGCCATAGCCCATTGGGCTGGCCCGGCCCATGGCGATCACTGGCGACATACACAAATGCTGAGAAACATGTATAGTATATTGCATAAGAAACAACACAGCGTGCCCAAAGTTGCGTCTCCATTGTCTTGCCTGTATGGATCAACAGGCCTGTATCAAACTCTGCACAGATTATCGACAATTTATTGTGCTGGTCGTTTGATGTTCAACAAAACACTCATCCAACAATTGTGAGCGCAATGCTGAAGAACACCCGCCAGAAACACCCCAACCCGTGACACATCGCGCCATCTCTCGGCAAATATCATACAGGTAAGGAGCAACACGGGATGAGACGGCATCGGTGCGTCGTGAAACGGAATGGTACGCACCAACATGTAAAACACCGGATGAATGAGTTCGCAGAGTGGTGGGCGGGATCCACACAGCGGTGCACACGCTACAAAACGATATCTGAAAGTGGCTCGGGGATCGCCAACGTCGGCCTGACGGACGCCTCCGTCCCCACGCGAGTCCGTACCAGTCACTGGCGGGGCGGCGGCGTCATCCAGACCGCCGAACAGGACAGACTTGTACTTCACCAACTCAGCAACTTGTTCCAACTAATCTAGTTCGATGCTGTTCTTCATACTCGTTGCAACAACCAACAGACAGCTTATCGCTCCATCCCCCTCCCCCTCCCCTCCCGGAGTGATTAACCGGAAGGGAGCACTCTACAGGCACCAGGCAGTCTCCGGGTGACCCCTGCCGTCCCCTCTGAGCGGTTTGATTGGTCAGCTCGGCCGAGGGCCGGCTGACTGGCCTGGCAGTCGGGTCCTCCCAGACGGCACGGCGCACCGCGCCGCGTCTCAGACTGACCGTCACGAGCCGTCGCCGCCGGTAGCGCCCAGTAGCGCCGCCTGCAGCTCGCGGACCGTCAGCAGTCGGGCGATCACCTGGCGCAGCGCCTCGGCCGCCAGCGGCTCTGACGAGAACCACGCGTCGCCGTCGGGCCGCCCGTCCGCGGCTGGCGTCAGGTACAGCGGCGCAGAGCGGGAGCTGCGCTCCGCCGCCGGACTGGGGGGAGGGGGGGGGGGGGAGTCAGGTACAGCGGCGCAGAGCGGGAGCTGCGATCCGCCGCAGGGTTGCCGGGAGGGAGGGGGAGGGGGAGTCAGGTACAGCGGCGCAGAGCGGGAGCCGCCGGACCGGGGAGGGCTGCCAGGGGGGAGGGGGAGTCAGGTGCAGCGGCGCAGAGCGGGAGCCGCCGGACCGGGAAGGGAGGGAGGGGGGGGGGAGTCAGGTACAGCGGCGCAGAGCGGGAGCTGCGCTCCGCCGCAGGGCTGCCGGGAGGGAGGGGGGAGGGGGAAGTCAGAGACGGCACTGGTTAGGGACGAGCGGGAGAACTTTCCGCAGACTGTCGTGAACCGGAGAGCGAGGCGTCAGGGAAGGGGCTGCTAAATATTGGGCAGAGCTACGGAGTGACGCCGGGTATCGCATCACACCACCTCGATGACAAGCAGGGTACCCTGCAGGCGTCGTGGTCCGGCCCCTCCCGAGCACCCGACCCGGCGACTCACCACCGACTCAGGTAGAACTCAATGAAGCGCACCGGACACTGGAACGGGTCCTCCTGGTTCGCCGGCATCTCGAACGTCTTACTTCGCTTGTCTGCAGAAACACAGAACATTGTTAATTAAGACGGAAGAGAAACGGCGGCGATCAGCGGCTACATGGATAATGAAATGAAATAATAATCAGAGTAGTAGAAAGCACCGGTCAGACGTGACTTCGTCTAGGTAAAGAAACAAAGCAACACCTGAAAGATTGCAAAGCTAATCTTTCACGTTTGATAGCGATCAGTCGCAGCGATCACATCAAATTACAAATACAAGATAGGAGAACTACGAACAAGACGAGAAATGCCCAGAACAGATTCTGGCACCATAAACGCTATTGTAGCGAAACGTCCTCCATTTCATTTCATTTTCAAAGCCAAAAGCACACCGCTCCATGCGAGCCCCTCCCCAAACGAGCAAGCACCAGCGACTTAGTGAAGCATGACCCGCGCGACTCTGCCCGCCTATCGGACCTGTCTTTCAGACCTTACACCGGCTCACGTCGTGCGATCACTTACAGACGTTACGCGAGTCCAGCAGCCGCAGTGAGCTCTGCTTCAGCCGGCTCTTGAGGTTGATGCTCTCCTGGATCATGGCGAAGCTGAGCTTCTGGTGCCATTGTAGCGACTGAGGGGACAGGCCGGGGACGGGGCCGTCAATGACTGCAGCGGCAGTCTGGTACACACAGTCACAGTCTAGGCTGGTGTGGCGCGGATAAGAATCCATCGAGTAGACGTAAGGTATTCCAGCATCAGCGTTCACCATGGGACAAAGCTCGCTGAGTATTTGGCGACAACATAAACTTCGGCTTACTCAGAGGTGGCTGCGTTAAATAAAATGTTCCGACTTCTGGCAAGGACATTTTATAGCAGTCGTACACCAATAGCAGTCGTACACCCATTATCCACCAGTTAGAGGCAGCGGTAAGCCCACTGTAATAGCTTTACGGCATAGCTGAAGGCCATAACATCTCTCATCACTGCCGATGACGATCCACAGGTGAACTCACGCCGATGAGGAAGTACTTGGTGACAAAGTAGATGACGGTGGTGACCAGCGACTGTGGCGAGTGGGCGCCCAGCACACGCGCCTCCCACAGCTGCCGCTCCTCCACGTGGGTGGTCAGCACGTGCCGCCGCGGGTCCGCCTCTGTGGGAGGGGGGAGGGAGCAGATGGGTTAACGGGTCTCCAGGGAGACCGAGTACCATCAGCCTGGTCAGTGGGCCCGCCTCTGTAGGTCCAACAGCAGGATTAGTTCTTCCCTGGGGCTCAGTTTGCACTGGCCCTGCTACCATTGCCGCTGTCAACAATACACGGGCAGACGCACTCATATGTAACTACAAAATCAACCCGACCCGGGATTATTTATCCAATGCTATACGGCAGGCTATATGAATTCGACATTACCTATAGCATCCGAGACCTGTGAGCGCCCAATTTATGATGCGACAAACTAAAAGGTGGACATTTCTCGAGTCCAGACAGACTCCGAGACCATGCCGAGCATCCCTCCCGCTCCCCCCGGCACCCACTCACCGGCCCTGCTGATGTCCTCAACGACCGGCTCGAGTCGCTCCTGCAGTGCGGCGCCCACCTCTGCGTACGACTCGCCCCAGAACAGGCTGTCCCAGCGCCGGTGTTCCAGCAGGTACACCTGGATCCCTGCCGGACAGACACAGTGGGTTACAGGCTGTCCCAGTGCGGAACAGTAGGTACACCTGGATCCCTGACGGACAGACACACAGTGGGTTACAGGCTGTCCCAGCAGGTACACCTGAATCCCTGCCGGACAGACACAGTGGGTTACGGGCTGTTCCAGCAGGTACACCTGGATCCCTGCCGGACAGACACGGTGGGTTACAGGCTGTCCCAACAGGAGCACCTGGATCCCTGACGGACAGACACAGTGGGTTACGGGCTGTCCCAACAGGTACACCTGGATCCCTGACGGACAGACACGGTGGGTTACAGGCTGTCCCAACAGGTGCACCTGGATCCCTGCTGGACAGACACAGTGGGTTACAGGCCGTCCCAGTGCGGAACAGTAGGTACACCTGGATCCCTGCCGGACAGACACAGTGGGTTACAGGCTGTCCCAGTGCGGAACAGTAGGTACACCTGGATCCCTGACGGACAGACACACAGTGGGTTACAGGCTGTCCCAGTGCGGAACAGTAGGTACACCTGGATCCCTGCCGGACAGACACGGCACGGGTTATCAGCAGGGGAAACAGACGGCCGAGCAGACACATCGCCATCGACTGTCTGGGAAGAAGGCTGGAGGTGTTCACTGTTCACAGAAGGAGGGAATAGCTCACCGAATCGCATATTCTCCTTACAGTTCCCTCATAATATGCATTCTCACCCTCCTTTCTCGCATATATTTCCATAATGTGCTGCGTAAGTACAAATCCAAAACACTTTACTTTTTTCCACGAATCCCCCTCCCCGTAGGATCCCTCCGGTCCGCCCTCTGCGCGCCCTCCTCACCAAGTAGCAGGTAGTGGAGCAGGTCGGGTGCGTACGGCTCACCGCCGGGCCTCCTCAGCTCTCTGACCAGCGCGCGCAGGCCGGCCGCCAGTTCCGAGGGCGTGGCCTGCAGCGGATCAGCCACCAGACGCTCGTGCGTCTCCGAGTCGGTGCCGGACTGAGCCGAGTCGGAGTCACAGACCGGCGGCGGCCGGCGGTTCCGCTCCCGGATAAACTGCTCGAACACGCGCACACACCACGTGTACTGCCGAGCAGAGTCGGGGCAGGGGCAGGTCGGGCAGCGTCAGAGAACGATGTCCAGGGTGAGGCTATCGTGTGCAGAAAATCAGCTGACAAAGTACACACTGTAAGTGAATATAGTTAGTTAGCAGTGTATCATTAATGCGAAAATACGATGGTGCGAATAGCTAGCCTGATCATTTATGTTCAATGACACAACGTCTCATCCTGACCATGTTATATTCTGCTTCGATAAAATTATCTGCTTCGTTCACAGAATCCATATCAGACCCTCCACCCCGACCACCACCTTCCCTTTCATACCTTGACGGATCTGGCCTACCTTTATAGCGCTCCGGTGGCAGGGCAGCGACTCGTCCACCGGTCCCACGAACTCTGTCCGCTGCGGTGCGGCGTCGTCCCCTGCCTCCGGCGGTCCGCCGAGCCGCGACTGGGGCTCGGTGGGCGGCGCACGCAGCAGCGCCGCCAGGTCCACCCGCGCAGCGGCCCCGTCCACGGCGACGGCTGACGGCGACGGTGGCGACGGACGGCGCGGGCCCACTGGCGGAGGGTGGGAGGGGGGGGGGAGTTAGGCAGAGGGTGGATACTGGCGACGGGCGGGCAGGGGGAGTTAGGGAAGGCAGAGCCAGACTCGCGAGGGGACGAGTCTCGATTCGCTACTAACGCATTCACCAATCGCAATAGTTATTCGCTAACTCGCTACTTTATCATCTTCTCCCGTCCCTTCCACACTCCATCCCGACCCCGCCGCGCCCACACTGCCTCGTTTGATCAGTCCCTACGATTCACATCTCACCCAGCCCACCAGTCTCGCAGCCCTCGACCCTGCGCCGTTTCGTCTCGTCTTGCTTACAATCGGCTTCGTTTTGTCACGAGCAACACGCTCTTTTTTGTGTAGCTCTAGTTTAGCGGGGTAGGGGGAACGGCTGAGGAATGTGCAGCCGACCCTACCTTATACGCTGGGCGCTGTGAAAATTCACACACGGACGAAGTTTGAAAACGCGGCTCAACTAGTCAAAACGAAACGTTCTGCCTCTACTAAAAGCACCGTCACTCAAACCGAGTGATATTTTCCACGCGAAGTCAGTCAAGCATCACTTCTTCGGCCAGTCAAACTCTACAAAAGGAATATGTTGCATAGCTGACGTTCAAAATTATTCATATTAGATTCTAACATCATCGGACAACATGATTGTCCCTATCGAACTAACGCGGGACACCCTGGCTTATGGCATGCGCTGTGACCTCATTCGGGTCGTTGGGCTACATCGTAACCTTTTTCACTTTGCAAACATCTTCAATTACATTCGCGAAATGTATATTTACAATGAAATGTACACAAAATGGAACATTTTGGTCACCTGGCAGTAGGAAAGCAGAATGTTAGTGAAAATCGGGCGACGTTCTCATCAGAACACCCTTTCGACATAAAAACGTAACTGCCAACAGCGTGGCATTGCACGTGGAATAAGTCATGCAAACAAATCTGGATGCAATTTAAATACGACTCATATCTACCAAAATGTGGTTCAATTTCCACGTCTGATCATTTCCGTCATATCGTTTCCACAATGTTCTGTCATGGTCAAATCGCAGTTGCCACAATTACTGGCCGAGAAACATCAGTCATGCTTCCCGAAATTGGAATGCACGCGCCCCGCGCCCCTAAGAATGCGCCACGCGCCCCTCCGCACCCAACTGTCCCCATTCCTAGCCGGGCGGTCCGTCACAGTCCCGCCCTCGGAAATCCGCCGGTGGGCGGGTCTGACGGGTCGGGCGGCCTCCCCTCCCCGCCGGGCGGTCCGTCACAGCCCCGCCCTCGGAGTGCCGCCGGGGGGCGGGTCTGACGGGTCGGGCGGCCTCCCCTCCCCGCCCCGCGAGCGGTCACCTTTCCGGCGTTTGTGCGGCGGCGGCCGGCCGGCGCTGTCCACGCTGCCGGAGTCGGAGCCGTCCGCGTCGCTGTCCGGAGTTGCGGGCCCGTCCGAGCCGTAGGCCAGCTCCGGCTCCGGGCCCGAGTCGTCAGAGACGGAGCCGGCCGAGCGGCGCCGCTTCCCGGCCACCTGCCGGCCCGGAGAGCCCTCCTGCCGCCGACAGACAGGTGGTCAATGGGGGAACGGGACGCAGGGAGGCAGACGTTAGTGACGGGGAACAGCCGCCCGGGGGGCCGGATAACAGGCCGTCCACAGCCCATTTAGGTCCCTCGAAAACTCGAACAACTCACCTTGGTCCCCTAAGGCCACCCCACAGCCCACTAACACCCCTGACACCGCTCTCCCTGACCATCCCGTCGCCTGATATCGCCCATGACCTACCTAGGTTCCCCAAGACTTGCGCAGCTGCTCACTCCCGCTCCTGAAGGCCACCCACAGCCCACCCGCCCGCTGAGCCTGAGCCCGCCCGTTTCCTCACCTGCCGGTACTCGGCAGTCCGGTGTACCGCCGGCAGACCACAGAGCAGTCGGAGCGCGTCCTCGGCGCCACACAGCAGCGGCACCGGCACAGGCAGCATCAGCGGCACGGGTACCGGCACCGGCCGACTGTACATCATCATCGGCACCGGCACGTACATGGGCACCGGCACGGGCAGCACGGCCCCAGACTCGATCGGACCGGAGGCGTCTGGTGGCACAATAGCAGAAGACTGGACGTCAATACATGCATTGGCAATCTATGTATAATTAGCAAATCACAATTGCATTGGTCTCTCAGTGATCGGATGTCGATCGAGCAGCAACACCAAAATAAGTTCGTCAGTTGGTTAGTTAATGATGCTAATCATTCTAAGAAAATCAATGGAAGCGAGTTATTATCCGCGTCAGCCGATACTAAACCCAGGCCGAGGCGAATTTCCAGTGACCAAGACCACCTGCCCCAATCGCCGCCTCCACCGCCTCGCTCCCTCTACCCCCTGTCTCACCGGTCTGCGTGGAGACGGTGGCCGTCTGCTTGTCCTCCCCCTTCCGCGGCTGCACCTGGACGCAGACGTTCCTCCTGAAGACGGGCGGCGGCGGCATCAGCACCAAGGACGGGTGTTCGCGCACGCCGGGCAGCGTGCCGGCCAGCGGCGCCGCCCCGCCGGCCGCCGCAGGAGCCGCCGCGGCGCCGTCCGCCAGGCTGATGACTGACTGAATCTGCGGCAGCGCCGCGGACGCCGCCGCCGGCGCCACGCCGTTGGAGACGGGCTGCGAGTCTCCGGTGCGCTCCGAACCTGGCGGGGAGGAGCGGGCAGAGTTACCGGGCAGGCTGTAGAAACTGGATAAAACTTTCCATATCTGGATAGCCCCATCCAGCCCAAACCTACCACAGACAGGGATTTAATCCACCCAAACCTACCAGGAACAACGGCATCCACGTCTTCTAGCCTCATCGAAACCAAATATCTAACGAGAGACCACAAAATAGAAAGGTGATTACTGACTACCAAGCCCGCCGATAAAACGACACGGCTTAGCTGCGACGTTGGTCGAGCCTGTGCAGGGGAGGGTGGCCGGCGAGTCTCACCTGTGGCTCGCGGCGCCTTCTTGAAGGCCATGGCGCACTTGGTGCCGCAGAAGATGTTCTGAGAGTTGCTGGTGTTGACGAGAGCCGACGAATCCATTGCGGTGTGACAGTGCGCGCAGCTGCCGGCACAGGAAGTCGGTCAATCAGTCACTGCGGCCGAGTCAGTAGCACAGTCACTCACTCAGCAGTCAGTCAGCCAGCCAGCAGGCAATGACTGCAGCCGGCCGGGGGAACTAGACCGAGGGAACCGGAACAGTCAATGCCAGTCAGTCAGCCGGTGACTACTAACAGAGTGACACTGACACCGTGCCATCTAACTCCCCAAGACAACCCAGTTTGCTTTGTCCCCCTAACCTGGCCACCTTTGTGGTCCAATGCGTTTGCCGTATGTTTTTTTTTACGGTTGATCAGTTTGCTATACATGTCCACTGACCTGACTGCCCTGGCAGTGGTCCGAGGTCCGATGCGTTTGCCGCAGTTTTTCAGACAGTGCACCGAACAGTAGAGCCCGTCCTTTTCCGCAGTTATTTCCATCATGTCGAAGTTGTATTTCTTCACCTGCCGGTTCACAGAAAACACCACAGCGCCTTTGGTCACTCAGTCCACATCTGCAAACGCTAACAATTAACACAGAACTAATAGCGAACCGTTATCTCTTTTCATGATAATTCAATGAACGATGACAGGGTACACACAAACGCACCCGGAAACGTAATCAACGCGACAACATGCAGTTAAACACTACAATACCCGCTCCGGCAATTCATGCCCCGAGATCCGCAGAACCGTCTTCCACGCCATACCCAGAGTCCCACGGCGCTCCCCGATTACCAGCGCCGGACTCCCGGCACCCGGACGGCGCCCATCTCGCGCCCCTCATTGCTCCCGTGCGCGGGCCGCGGCGGTGTGTACCTTGCAGTAGCGACACGAGACGATGCGCCGGTTGCAGAGGACGAACACGTTAGAGCAGCTCTGCGAGCACAGGTTGGCCGCCACCGAGCCGTTCCACACGCGGAACTGCGTCATGTTTTTGGTCACCAGCAGCGACTTGCACACGGCGCACGTGTCTGAGAAGGGAGACAGCACCAGTGAGTTAAACAGAAACACGAGATCTACCCACCAACGCAGCCGCGAGCAAACTCCGTACCTTACTACGCGCATACCGAGCGAACTCCAAAAGATGTTCCCACCCATGTACCGATCGAGCCCATAGTATCTCCACTTCTCACACAATAGCCGTGCTTCCTTATAGTCCCCAATCCCCATTTATGTATCGAGTGTACCCGCTGATATCTCCCCGGACCCCACACAACCTTCGATCTCTCCCTCTCCTCATCCAACCCGTATATCCCAGTCCCCCACGTGCCGACCGTGTCCTTCATATCTCCCATTTCACAAAGTGAGCGAAACCCACAATTAGATCTCTCCCCTCTGACATACCGAGCGGGCCCTCATCCTTGATGGCGAACTTGTACGCCTTGAGGCAGATCTGCGAGCAGAGCTGTTTGACGGGCTCGTCGGGCCGCACGGCCACCTTGTGCTCGATGATGGTGTTCTTCAGACAGACGGAACAGTTGGCCTGCACGGGCGGCTTCTTGCCGCCCTCGCTGTGCGTGGTCTTGTACTGGGTCAGACACGACTGGCTGCAGAACTCCTGCCGGTCGGACGGGAAGCGTTAGTCACGGGCACGGCTGTGGGAGTCTGGACGTGGGCGAGAGTGGAGCCTAGTCATGTAGCTGATATAAAATATGGTTAAAAGTGAGGCCAAAATATCAGCTCGGGACCGTTATCTACATTCAGATACTATCTGATCAGATTCCGACACGCTACAAATCCAACCATATGCAGCCGTGACCGAATGCGGCCAGCAAAGTCTATTGAATACACAGACACCTTTCTGGTCGCTGAGTGAGTGACCCGTCGAGGCCGCCACCGCCGCCGTATACTGACCTTGAACTGATGGGAGCCGGCACTACCGACCGGCGCCAGGAAGCTGCCCTGGAAGCGCGTGATGTCGCGCTGGCAGTAGCTGCACACCTTGAGCCGCTTCTTGAAGCCGTCCAGGCACAGGTTGCTGCAGAACTGGCGCACGTCCGATCCGAAGCGCACGCAGTACTTGCCCATGACCAGCTCGGGCAGGTCGAGCTTACAGAACACACACGACGAGCCGTCCTTCTTCTGGTGCTCGACTGTAAGGGCGGACGGGTTGGGGCGCAGATGGTCAGAGGGAGGGGGAATTGACGGCTCGACAGCGCGTCACGAGCACCGTGCGACAGGTGGGAAACACCCCACACCGTAAAATATCTCAGTCAAGTGCGCTTTTTCGTGTACATTTCGCTGAACTAGTCGCAATATCACCTGGCCTTACAAACATGCCTCTGGTGTCCACTTGACCAAATCAATCCACCATCCCGAGTAATACCAGCCCTTCCGCTCGAAACTCACCAGCAGCCCTCCAGCTTGCCCCAATCCCCTCCCCCTTTTCCGTCTCTCACTGTTCCTCGCTTCCTCCCGTCTCACCGGCGCAGGAAGGCGAGCAGAACACCATCGTCTCCCAGACGGTGCGCTGCAGCCGCTGGGAGGTGTTGTTCAGCAGGATCGGCAGGCCGCACGCCGCGTTCTGACAGACAGTCCGGCTGCGGCTGGAGCCCGTCGGCGCGTCGCCGGCCGGGGTCGGGCCGCCGCCGCCGGACGGCGAGCAGGGGGTGGCGGCCGCAGAGGCCGGCGTGGCGGCGGCCGCCACCGCGGGGGAGGAGAGAGAGGTGACGCTGGCCACTGTCAGACTGGTGGCCGGACTGGCGGCCGGCGGCGCGGCCGGGATCGACAGCGTGCTGCCGTCGCTGCCGATGTTCATACGGCCCTGCGCAGACACGGGGATCATTAACGTGGCATTGCCGACAAGAACTCGTAAAAAAAAAACAGACGAACAAAGAAATGGCATGCATGCATGGTCGATATGTGAATCAAAAGGACAACAAAATTACTATGCATAAATATCTCAGGTGAACTACATGGTGAACTACCAAAGAGATTGCTCGTGTTGCCGCAACAGCATGTCTAAGAACTCCCTTAGTCGTACCACCCGAAGTCATGGTCAAAAGCTGCAGGTTCAGCATCAGTTGAGACCTAGGAAAGCCTTCTTCGCGGCACGAGTGACTCAGGCATGGAACAAGCTGTCCAGGAACACCATTGAAGCACCAAACGTCAATGTTTTAAAGTTCAGACTTGGTAAAGAATGGAAGGACCACCCTGACAAGTTTAACTACAACTTTTTCTACTAATGCTAAGAGTGGTTACTCGTCATATCAACGACAGTAGCTACTGTCACTAACAACAGTGGTCATCATGTCATGGCCACAACGAGCATGGCAGCCGACTCGTCTTCATCAGAAGAGGAGGAGGCGCCTCTTGAGTAAAGGGTCTTATTACTCGAAAGGTACCTATTGACCTTTACTTAAGGTAAATAAATGTGAATGGCGATGAGCAAACAGTCAGTAGATGTCTTTCATATCAAAATATGAAACACGTTCACAGTTTATAATCGCAACACGAAAACGATTTATCAAACACACATCTCAGCATTCCTGCGGCGACATCCCGTATTATTGCCAAGGTATACCAAGTGACAGGAAAAGGCATTACCAAGCTACCAACTGGACCGACTACTGACTGGTTCCCCTCACGCCACAGTTGCGGCTGTCCACCCGGCCGGCCGAGTCTCACCGCCTTCACGTTTTTGACGCACTGCTCCAGACACTCGTCCGAGCAGATGACGTTGCCGCTCTTGGCTCCGTTCGCCATCATCATGTACTTGATGGGCTTCACCTGTGGAGCGGGCAGAGCGGCCGTTAACGGAAAGCCGACATGAAGTCATCACCGGCACGCAAACAGGAACATTGGCGGCCGCAGCCATGAAGGCACAACAGCTAAATGCACGGCACTACCCTCTTCCATTCCATTACACGGTCTCCCGCCATGACAGGCGCGCTCGCAGGGGGGGGGGGGGGCACTGACCCAGTGGCAGCCGATGCACTTGCTGTGCCGGGAGGAGAGGAGCGTGGCGCCCATCGCCGTGCCGGCGGGCACCACGGCCGGCCGAACCGCCAGCGGCCGCAGCGACTTGCCGCCCCCGGCAGCCTCCGACGCGCTGTCGGGCACCGGGATAGAGATCAGACACAGTCAGCACAGTAAGCACAGTCAGAGATCAGAAAGGTCAGACACCAGTCTGAGTCAGACACGAGCAGATGTCAGAGTTCAGACACCGGTCAGAGTCATACACGGGCTATAGAGGTCAGACAAGGTAAAAAAAAAACGGGTCAAATACCGGTCCGAGGTCAGACACGTGTCATAGACGCCAGGCACAAGTCACACAGGGCAAAAGATCGTACACAGAATGGTCCAAAAGACAGAGATGGTTAGAAACCGTTCCACTGCACGGAGTTTTATTACCACAGATCCATCTGATCATCTGATCCAACGAACGACCCCCACATCTCAGTGAGTACCGCCAGCACCACCGTCCGGCCGTGCAGCCGGCACCATCCCTGCTTCATTCACTCACTCCTTGTAGATGGGTGTGACGATGCCATAGGAGGTGGGCAGGCCGACAGCGGCGTGCGGCGACCGGTCCACCACCACTGTCACCCCTTCGTTGGACGAGTCGGCCGCGGCGCCGGCCGCCGCCTGTCCGTTCAGCCGGACACCACCGCCAACCGAGCCGACGGTCTGAGCGGCGCGGAACGCGAGGGTGAATGTAGCGCGGTGGACCACATGTAGCGCGAAATATTTGTGTCAACACGAACAGGAGCTCCTCCGGAACGATACTGCGATACGAGTAGAAACGGTTGTCCTACAATCACATTTACACTTTGAAAGTATCCGTACACCCTGCACACCTACCTTATCCATTTTACCAATCAAACCACCATCAAACCCGCCGATTTGACCAAACATTGCATTAGAAGCCACTTCAAACCCATATACAACCCGTGTTCTCGGATATGTAATAAACATATGAAAAAAGATACTCATGGATAAAAAAAGAAACCCATATACAAGCTGCTGCATCTCGCAGCCCCAGAATACGAGCCATCCCCCCCCCCCCAACTCAGTGTCGCTGGTCGGACTCACCTTCGTGCTGCCGGCGGTGGCCGGGCGGGAGCCTCCGGCCGCCGGTGGCGGCGACCCGCCGTTGGTGGCCTCCACAGGCTCAGGGTCGTCACCGTCCTCCTCCGACTCGTCCAGCGTGCTCACCGTCGCCGCCGAGATGACGCGGATCTGCTTCAGCGGCGAGCTCTTCGGCGGCTGGTCAGCCGGCACGTCGATGTCGATCACGGTCACGTGCGGGTCGTCGGCCAGCCGCGGCTCCTCCTTTTCGACAGTCAGCGCCTCGGCCTCCCTGTCCGGGGCCGCCGCGGCCGCACTGCCCTCTTCAACCGGCACTTCCATCACCTCGTCCGCAGAGTCCGACGCTACCTCGTCCCCGCCCGGCTTCGCCTTTTCACTTCCACCCGAGTTCGCCTTTCCACTCTCACCCGAGTTCGCCTTCTCACCGCCGACAGTCGCGTCGTCAGACTCTGCTCCGTCGGACACCGACTCGACATCCGTAGCGACACCTGCCGCGGCCTGTCCCGCCCCGGCGCCGCCCCCTGCCGTCGGGCCGGCGCTCTCCGAGGCGCCACTGTCGCCCGAGTCACTGGAGCGGGTCCGCCCCCCGGCCGGGGTGGAGGGCCCGTCCGCGGCGGAGTCGGAGCCGGCCGAGCCGCGGCGGTCGGAGCCGGCAGTGCCGCCCTCCACCGACCCCATACTGTCCTCGGTCGGCTCCGGTGGCGAGGCCGTCACCGAATCGGCGCCGGAGCCAGTATCTTCTGCACTCATCACTGTCTAAGAATGGAGAATGCTATGCACTAGTGTGACATGTGTGTCTTTGCACTTCCATTTGTGCAAAGCTAGTCAATAAGAAATGTCCCAGACACAAATGGTCAGCAGCTTCTGCAAAAAAAGTTATGTTTAGGCTTCATGGTTTTGAGGGCTAGCTCCTGATGCCTGGTACAATAGGTATTTGACTGTAAATTTGGACAAGCATGGGAAAGATAGTCTTCACCTAGTTATTTGCAGCTGTTAACCTATTAGCAAGGTTTGGACCCAGTGATACTTCAATATGAACTCTGCACTTGGACCCCTGAATGATGAGCAAGACTAAGAAAATTGTGACAATCATAATCATTTCAAAATGATACTAACTTTGATTTCCAGAAAAGCTTAACTTCACTCCACAATAAGGCAAGTAAGGCATCACTACAGAGATAGCTGATTATTAAGCATGATGTTTTGTGAGCATGGTAGGAAAGGAAATGGTAGGAAAGGAATAATATATACTTCATAAATCATATCACAGGGTACAACCTATAGGGAATCTGGTTTTGAAAATCAATAGATTTGATATGACAATGATGCTGTGTCACAATCACAGTGATGCTGGTGTGAGTGCCAAGCTAACATTATGGATGCTTGCCTATAACCTAAGGGATTAATTTTCTTAGGGATTCAATTTATTAAAATAATAATATGATAAAACCAGCAAAATGCTGGTATCCAATCACATTAAGCCTAAGCCAGTTTAATACCAAAACTACAAAAATGCATTTATCAGTCAAAAAACAACATGTCATAACTTTTACATGAAATGGTGCCTTATTCATTTAGAAGAGGTTAATCGCTCAGACTACTGAGAGAGCCACCAATGGTTATTTGAACATAATAAATAGTAAAATGTAAGTAATTTAGCCATAGAAATGGACACAATTCAATCATTCAGGTATCTACCTACAAAAACAATCCACATGGTTCTCCTATACAGAGATTGTTAATACACAAATTGGCATGAATCCCTGGTAAAAGTTATACAATAATGTTCAAAATTCCTATGTTCAATATCCAAAAACAAATTTGTTTAAACTTCGTAACATGGAATAATTGTATCACTTTTTTCCTCGTATTCTGCCAGGAAATTAATTGTGAGTGGCAAATTAAAATCATTTATTCTACATTTTTCCAGGTGGCAAACTGTGAGGGTGTCTTCTTGCCAACAAAATTAAATTGAAAAGAAATTAGGCATTCAACACCCATCTATTACCTACATCTCAAGCAATAAGAGCATCACCAAGTCTTTATCAAAAACCTTTGGTGGTTCCATTTCAAATTGAAATACAGAGCAACATCTATGCCATTTAAATTCAAGAACAGCAAATTGAAGACCAACCTAACAACACATCCACATGCGTCCACCGCGTCCACCATAAAAATCCAAGGCCCTATATACACCATAAAATCAAAACTCAAACGTGTCAATATTCCAACAAAGATGGCAGCACGATGCGGAAACGCCGCTCACGCTTCCGTTCAACTAGCATGAAATCAAATAAATTGTAGTCTACATTTGATGACGCATGAGTAGGATAAACGGCATTATTTGCCATCAAAAGGCCTTATAAATTATCTTACATAACTTTTTTTAATAAATCGATCAATTTTTTATTATTATAGTAGCACCTTATGAATTACAAAGGATAAATAACTAATTTGTTCAGAATACGTCATCAAAAAAGCATAATATTTTTCTTGGACTTGTCTGTCCATCGGCCACTGCGTATACTTCGTCTAAAGTGTATATGTAGGGCGCCATGTTGGATGGCAGGGCTCGAAATCCAGCAATTCCGCACTTTTTCATCGCGGCTGCTGCCCGTAATCATGTAAAACAAATCGTACGTTGTCCGAGAGATAATATTTACCACGTAGGATGCGTTGGTTGCTTGTGAAAGCGCTTTTGAAATCAACAAAGATGGCGGAACAAAATGGCGGATTTTGACCTTGAGATGGGCGCATGCGCACTCGGCTATTAAATTGATGCAGCATTCATTATTGCTAATTGGCTGCGATAAAAATGTTTATGCTTGCCTCTGCCAGGAAGTGCCAGTTACTTTTATGCTAAGAGCGCACTTATTTTATGGTTATGGTGTTATGGTTATGAATTAATCGCAGTTCAGTCAAAGTAAAAATCAGAAAATGGGAAGGGAACTGCCACAAAACAAAGATACCTTACCCTCCTCATATACCTACGTAGGAGTTTCGAGTTTCTATTTCGATATAGAAATCGAGTTCTATCTATTCTCTATCGAGTTCCTATTTCGAGTTTCTTCAATACAATACCTAGTCATAAAAGGCAATGTTAACCTGCCGTGAAAGAATGACTGCATCGGCAATACCTTTATTTTCAGTTCAAAATCTCATACCGCAAAGTGAAATTTGCATTTAGATGCCACCGTCAAGTCCAGCAAAACAGCGGCTCATTCCCCCGCAAGAGCTCAGCAGCATGCGTCACGGCATGGGGCCATATGAATTATAGCCGACACAACATGAGTTTGGATGGTTTATACGAGTATATCATTGTTTGAAATGTCACTTTCTTTTTTCGACTTATTATAGTTATAAGCACAAGGCTATTATTCACTCCTATTGCAAACAACTCAAATTCATTCAACACGTGTATTTCTTTGGCGAGAAAACAATGAGTCACCATACATCAGACGATTGCTCCCGGGCAGTGCCTCGGGCAACCAACGCACACGCACCCATGCACACATCCCAAACAACGGCGCCACTCGGACAGCTATACGAGCACGAGGTGGCGCGTCTCGACCCCACGGAATGCACCACACGCGAGCACGCGTTTCGGTAAAAGTGTCATCTAGCATCAAAACGCCGGCCGGCACGGGGGCGGGCTCGGCTCGCCGACCGCCCGCCCCATTTGTACAGTACAGCAGCTGTTACTACCAGCTAATAGAAAAATACCCTGATATCGGCAGTGGATGTCTGATGAGGCTGACGGTGCAGCGTTTGTAAGCGTGTTACGGTTAACCGGCCCGCGCCCGGCCGGAGACCAGAGGCCGCGGGCCGGCGGCGGCCGAGTTCCACAAAACTCGCCGGTCAGTTGCGGGAATTCAGATTCGGGCTGTGCAGATACCACACAGCCAGATCCACGCTCATGGACAGATTGCGGACCTCGGTGAGAGGCTGTTCCGACGCCAGCTATCACTGAGCTGAGCCTGCCCTGACAGTGGGACTGACTGGTACCGGTGAATTAATTCACCTCTCCTCCTGTAACCTTCCCCATCACAAACGGACCGCCCCCGACCACCGGGCGGCCACCGTCAGAGAGGTAGGCGACCGCCCGGTACGGGAGCAGGTCGGTGATCACTCTGAGCCTCTCTGTCCCACCACAGGGTCACGAATCCCACTCCACTAGGTACTGGACCTCTCCGCTGAGCGAGGTGCGCCGGGCGAGCAGAGCACGCGCGCCGCGCCCGCCGCCGGCCGCCGCGCCAAACAGCGCGCCCACGTCCGCCCAGCCGGCGGCGGCCGACGTCGGCGGCACCGGCAGACGGCGCAGGCGGCGCTTCCGGCGGCGGCGCACCTCGCCCGTCTTGCTGATGCGGATGTCCTTCTCGCTAAGCTGGCGGGTGACCACGGTGCCAATCAGGCCAGAGAACGGGTTGTTGAGGCCGTCGAAGTTGAACGAGGGCGGTATGAGGGCGTCCAGCGTGCCGCCGCGAGACGCCTCGTCACTAGAAGTCTCCACGGAGCCGGAGGCCGACGCCGTCTGCGGACACAGCAGGTCAGATAAGGAGTGTCGGCCGGCGGCGGTGGTGTGGGCCACACTGAGAGCTACTGAGGCAAAGGTGGTAGTAACCGCGTGTCGGGGTACAGACGGACGATGCACAAGTAAGTGGGTGGATATCTACCAGGAAAACGCCTTTTGGGCGAAGAACGAGCGAGCGAGATAGTGATATTGCCTGGTGGGTGCCTACCTGTATGCCAAGTTTCAGCGAAATCGCCCCAGTAATTACCGAGTAATTAAAATGGGAACAAATTTGACACCTCTTATTGTTGTATTTTGCAAGTGCACTGGGGATGACCCACATGCATCGAGAGTATCCTATTTTTGGTAGAAGGGATGCTGCTACCCTACAAAAATTACCGCAAGTCAATCGCCCAAGCGGCTGCTGAGATATGAGCCTCTCAAAATCACTACTTTTGCAAAACAGCTTGAACACCCTTGACTTTTCACGTGGCACGTGCCACGACGATCACTGAGCTGAGATGTATCAAAAGTAGTCAATTACGGGGTGGAAGGGATGGGGCTACCCAGCAAAAAAGACCGCAGGCCAATCGGTCCAGTGGTTTCTGAGATATAAGCCTCTCAAAAGCGTTACAGGCGGGGCCGGGCCGGGCCGCTCATACTGAGATTTTTCCGTTACATATTGAAAAGACTCGCTTCGCTCGCTGCGCTCGCTCGCTCGTAATCAGTGCGAATTGCAAACTATACCACCAGAACACAGCCGCATACATGTGTACCACACCAGTGCTCAATACAGGCGTCAAGTTATGACACAATGTAAAAGCTATGTGAACGAACAGGAACGAAGGATCTGTCTCTTGGTCTATATTCTGTTTACATTCGCCACTGGCACTAAACGGTAAACCCTAGTTGGTCTTTATTAATTAAGCCCACCAGCTCCACGGTTCCCCTTACACTGTCCGGAGGAGCCCGGTCGGCCGGACGGTGCGGACGTACCTTTACCGCCGGCCGCAGTTTCCGTCCCCGTTTGCTGACGGAGGGGGGCGGGGCGGGCTCGGAGGCGGCGCCGGTCTCTGAGGACCCGGGACTGGTCCGCTCGCTGGTGCTCGGAGTCCGGGAGGGCGCCGCGGACGGCGGCGGCTGCTGCGGAGGCGCCGGTGGAGCGCGCGTCCGCAACATCCGCGGCGGCGGCGGCGGCGACTCGGCATCCGAGTGGGAGCACCGGCCGTTCCTGGGGACCGCGGACGGGAGGTCACCGGCTGCAGCAACGCACATACACTCAGCCGCAGCGGCGGACGACACGGCGCACTGAATGCGTTGTTACAAACCCAAAGAACGCAACGCCGTGTGGCCGGGCTGAACCGCCGCTACTCACATGAACGGGTACCGGGAGCCGGGGCACTCGGTGGTGGCGCGCTTCTTGACGGCGCCGTACGGCGGGTAGACGCCACCCCCCGGCGTGACGACTGGCTCCGAGCGGCACTTCGGCTCCTCGGCCATTTTCCGCTTCAGCTTCACAGGCCTGTCAGGGCACAGGGAGGGGAGGGAGCAGGGGCATCAGCTGGTGGATATGTCAGCGGGCGGGCTGTAGGAACACGAGCATTCAGCCCACCACTGCCGACGTAACTACAATCCACAGCTCCTCCCCACGCAGACAGTCTGATAGCAGCAGCTCAGGTCTCTCGGCACTCACGTGATCTGTTTGCTCTTCCTGCTGCTCGAGTAGTGGACGCGCACCGCCTTGAGCGAGTGTTCGGTGACGGGCCGGCTGAGTCGCAGGTCCACTGTGGGCGGCGGCGGCGGCGCCTTCACGCGCAGACTCCACAGACCGGGCCGCTTCTTGTGCTCGCGGCCCGACTGGAAGGCCGACTTGTTCTTGGAGTCCTGCAGCACGCGTAGGACCTCGCCGCGCCGCAGCTTGATTGGCACTGTCTGGAGCTGCGGGGAGGGAGGGGGCGATCAGGCACGCACATCACGGCGGTACGCGACTGCGGAAGGACGAGCGGAGAGAAAGGCGTGAGCAGCGATATGTCAGGGCGCGGCATTCACAGCTAAATATCCAGCGCACAAAATCAGACGCAATGAACAAACATCGATAGAACCGGCAGTTGCGACATCATTGTGGGCTGCGGAGCTCAGGCTACCGCCAGCGTAGCAATGAATAATTAATAAATCGACGGCAACCCTGCCAGAAAAATAATAAAACGGGTTCTGACTCTGAGCGGACCGATAAATAGCTGTGGACGACGAGACGAGAACTGCATTATCGATCCTCCGCCCCAGGGGTGAAGGGCTCCATGACAGAGCTGTCCCTGGCAATAAAAACCTGGCAATTCTGGGTCACTTCACATAGATAATTTAATTTAAAAAGCATCAGACTCGTAGTAACGGTTTGACTTTGATGAACTTTGAGAAGTTGTGGTGTAAAGCACTCTGAGGACCGGGCGTAACGGCCAGCCGCACGCAGACGCTGTCACGAGCGACACATGCTCAGCTACTGGCACCGGTAACGTCTAGCCACGGCCCCACGTCCGCTGGTGCGCAACCACAGACACTCGATACTCCAGCCGTCCTACCGTGGCAAAGAACACATCCCTGCCGAGTGTGGTGCGAACGGCTCCCCCTGGATATGGTGTCGCCGCGCGATTGCCGCGGCGGCGCCGACTCACGTAAATGGGCGCCTGGAGGACGTCCCAGTGCTCGTCGATCCAGGGCAGCAGCGCCAGGTCCAGGTCGTGGTAGCGCTTCTGCGAGGCCACCGTCAGGTTGAAGAGGGCCAGGTGGACCACCTCCTGCCAGCGGATGTCGAGCCGCTTGACCAGTTCGGTGCCGTCGTTACAGACGGCGCACACGAACACGTGGTACCTGCCGAGGCACACAGGCCGGAGGTCAGTCAGTCAGGTGTAAGACAGGGGCTAGATCAGGTAGAACTGGTCTGTTCGAGGTCAGATGGGAGTCAGTATAAGCAAGCCCGAATCTTAGAGGTCCGTCGGTATGTCAGAGGCTGGTCAGTCAGGCACGGAGTAGAGTCTCTGTCCGGCACTGCGTACAATCCACAACCGTCCAGCCGTTGGCCCAACACGTCCAGACGTAGGTACCGGACCCGCCAACGTCGGCGAATAGCCGGCCAGTATCAGAGGCACAGACAACAGCACAGGTCTGCCGGGGCCAGAGGCGCTGTAGCCGGCTCTGCCGCGAGCGAGTCCGGCCGCCGGCCTGGGAGCACTGCCCCGTCCAGGACACGGAACGAGCACCGAGCGACCGATAGGCGCGCAGCGCAGCGCCCGAGGTGGCGCTCCATATACAACTTCGCAATAGAGCCGCGTGAATTCGACCGAACTCAGGCGTCAGCGAACAGCGGCCAAGTCCGCTTCAGCTAACTTCTCAGCGGTGTGTATCTCAAAGATAATAAATAGCTGAAATAACAGGTGCAAATTTCCAGCACTTATTTGCACATGCTTTACGCAGGTGAAGTAATTTCATTTCAAATGAGTTCATCTGCCCGAAGACATCGAGAAACAAAAGCTCTGACCAGAACTGTTTGGAAAGTATTAGCATGAACAGCGCTGCTAGTCGCTGTCTAAATGAGCGGTTATGACGCCCGGAGCGTCGGGCGGGGCACACACGGCAGGCAGCGGCACTCATGCCTCGGGACCAGTCCTCTACCATACCAGCTTCACAGGTAAGCAAGGCTGGAACCATTCACAGTCTACATATATCAAGCCTGCAAACGTCCACGGCGGTCTTCCACAACCCACCCCTTTTTTCACTAAAGACCGTCGACCGTCCCTACCCTTCCCCCTCCAATCATCGCCCGCCCTTCACGGCCTCACCCCTTTCCTTCCCTCTCCTCCCCTCCAGTCTACATCCCGCACCGCCCTTACTCCCTCTTCTCTCCCCACCTCAGCCCTCGGCTCTCCCGCTGACTCACCGGTCGCCGCTGAGCAGCGGGTACTGCAGACACTCGATGCACACCTCGTGAAACCACTGTCGGCACTGGAAGCACTGCAACATCTTGTTGAACCAGTCGCCGGGCCCGCCGCAGTAACAGTACGTCTGCTCCCGGTTCACTTTGTGGTCCGACATCCATGTCAGAGACGAGAGCTGCGGAGACCCGAGGGGTCGTCGGCCGGGGGTCAGACGAGGGCACGGAGGGACGGAGACTGGACGTTGGGGAGCGCAGAGGGACCGGCGTGAGAAGGATGGGGCTCAGAGACCGGCGTAGGGTGGAGAACGAAGGAAGAGACAGAGGGAAGGCACGAATGGACTGACATCCGAGCGGAACACAGAAGGATGAGCGCCAAAAGGGATATGAAAGAACAGTGACGTCAAAGGAACACGCCGGATGGAGGGGCGTAAGAGGCACACGGAGAGATTGACGTCCGAATACTAAACGACCAGCGTCAGAAAGGAGCCCATGGTGGTAACGAGAAAACTGTACCGCAAAAATACCCGAAATACCGAGAATTACTGAGAAAAATTGGCGTCAGCGTCACTATTCGTTTGAATAAGATCATAACAAAGGCTGTCACTGGGATCAAAGAGAAGTCGCGTGAGCGTCACAAGTAAACTGATTCCAAATTCTTCCTTGAATAATGACTTGCAGTGTGCAGTTGCAATTGGTGAACGAAGGCAAAACTACGACAGCAATAATCGTGCGTTCATCTCGAGCGTTGACCGACGGCGGTGTCGGCGCATACTCACACTATATGGCAGTGTTTTCTTGTGCTCATTGGTAACAAGCTTCATGTTGTCGTGACTAGCAATGTGTTTGGGCCGACTGTCTCGGCACTCTTCGCATGACCAGCCGGGCGCTATCAGCTGTAACTTGGGCTGCCGGACACCATAGAAGGAGACCAGTGTTACCGTGGTACGCCAGAACACACAGCGAAACAAGGTATCGCAGGAAACAGTGCGGAAGGCTCGGTTTGTCTCTCGTGCAGTATGTAGCGCTATTATATCGCTGGGACCATTACAGGATTAACTTTTTATAGTGAAAAAAGTGTCTCAGCTCGAAGAACTCGAAAGGATAGGGACGAAAATGGGGCGCCTGACCGCAACAATTAGGCAACCATGTGCAAAACACGTGAATAATCTGAAGAAAAAAAACAGCAAAGAGAAAAAACACGTACATTGCATAAACTGCACTCGCCTTAACATGCGCTCAGGCAATGTTTAATAAGGAAGGGCGAGCAGGCCGTTAGTCGTTACAGAAATGGACAATTGCTAAGCTGCAAGTAAAAACTATTACGTGTCCATTTTTAATATTTCAGCCAGCGGCCTCACTTTCGTTGCTTCGTCTGTTATTTCCGTGCCGCACCTGGTACCCACCCGCCCGACTGCCCGTCCGCTAACCTATCCACCCCCGTTCGTCTCGCTGTCGCCCCGCCCCGGCCCATCTGTCCGTCCCCTCCCCACCCGTCTGCCTCACCTGTACGCAGCGCTGGTGGAACGGCAGGCGGCAGACGACGCAGTGCACTATCTCATTGTCGGCGGCCGTGGCGGCGCTCCGACACATGCAGCACGGCTCGTCCAGCGGCCGCGGACGCGACACGTTCCTGTACTGAGACCACGCCTGGGTGCCGTCCGCGTACCGCACCAGGCAGCGCGCGCGGGCCTCGTCCGACTGACGACGGGACGGGGGCGGGGGAGGGGGGGGGGAGGGGTGAGAGGCGATACGGCGGGGGAGGGCAGGGAGGGTGAGAGGGCCGGCAGGGGGAGGCGGTCAGATGGGCGCGGAGCTGCAGCACGGGAAACAGGGAAGATGCATTGCAGAGGAGGATATTAAGGTGAGAGAAGGAGATGTCTGAAGATCACATCAGTGAGAGTTTTAACGTATGATGAATTATCAGGAAACGTTTCGAAGACCGCAGCCCGTCAAAATATAGAAGAATGGCAACGAAAATAGTGCATCGAAAAGAACACACGAGCAGAACAAGTAACAAGAAGGATCGGCACAAATTGTCGCGAGCGAAAACGAGCCGTGTGCGGCGGACGGTGATCGGGGTGCGGTAGAGGGGGGGGGGGGCAGCGGTGCCCCCAACATACGGCGGGCCGCGGTCACCGACGGCACAGCTGGTGTGTCAGCGGGCAGTCCGCCGACGGACAGAGCGACCGTCGGCAACCGTGGAGGGAGCGGGACAGAGCGGCCAAAGGCAGAGAGGGGAGCGGGGCAGAGCGGGGCGGTCGGAGCGACGGAGGTTGTCAGCCGGCCGTGGAAACGACAGGATTCTGACCATGACAATAATTTCCAACAATGTTTGATAGTTAGCAGGATAGTACTGTCGAAAAAAAACGTAAGAACCTACGTACGAAAAAAAATCAAGATAGCTTTCATCGAAACATTTATGTTTTCCAGTGGCCAATCAATTGTGTATTGATCTTCACGTAGTGCCTAGAAAAGTTTAAAATAACGTTCAATTACATCGAATAGAGCAAGAATTTCCGCCGACGCACGGCTTCTTCTAAAGGAGTCTTGCGTATCCGACATAAACAAACGAAAAACTCAGAGAAAACATTAATGATGGCGAGTCCTGAAGGTCAACATAGCTTTATCCATTCAGAAAGTCGTTGATCGGAAACGGTACCGAATTTAGTGATGTCAATTACGGAAAATCGGAATACCGATACCAAACCAAATACCAACCAAAACCACGGGAAAATACCGAAACCAAACCAACTTGGGAAAATGAGGGAAATACCAACTTTTTACCGATTTCTTAACCTCTTATACATTAGCGAGGGTTTATGATACCAACAAAATACCAAACACATTACGATTGAAATACCAAATACCAAGTTGGTATCGGTTTGGTATCGGTATACCAAAAAGTTGGTATCCGATTGACATCTCTAATACCGATAAGTGATGATACCACAAAAGAGCGCGTGGCGCCGATCATCGATCTCACACCTATCTACAGTAGCTCCCGCATTCCCTTCCAGATCTCACCTCAACAACCGTTCCCAAGTAGAACCGACCGTCCTTGGCATGTGAGAACACCTCTTCTCCGTCGACGAATTTGGATGGAACCGTGGTGCTGTCCGGTGACGTGGGGGTGGATTCCAGAGCCTGGCGGACGGGGCGGCGGCTCAGTGGCGGAAACAGACGGGGTCACCGACACACGGCGTCATCGGAAACACTACACCAGAATACGGAGTCACCAGACACGGACACGGTACACCGACACACGGCGTCATCAGGGAGCGATACGTACACCGGCACACGGTGTTGTCGGGCACGATGCACCGGCACACAGCGTCACCAGACAGGGTACACCAACGCACGGCGTCATCAAGGAGCGATACGTACACCGGCACACGGTGTTGGAATTGTGAATTTTGGTCCTGGTCCCGGAGAATAAAATCTGTCCGGAGAACCGGCCAACTTCTAGAACACTCAACAGGAAATCATATGTTTGGCCTACTAGGTGCGACAGTTGATAAAATGTTTTCTCTCAATGCTACCTATAACTGCATGTTTTAAGCGTAATAATAGCAGTTTTTCATAACACAAACTGGAAATTTAAGAGATTTCAGGTGCCAGAGCATAAATTTGTAAACAAAATCGTTTGGACTCGACTGGGACAAGCAATTTTTTTTCTTGGCCTTATTTCCAACATTGCCGGCACACAGTGTTTTCGGGCACGATGCGCACAGCGTCACCAGACACGGTACACCGACGCACGACGTCATCAAGAACGATACCTACACCTGCACACGATGTAATCGGACACAATACACCGCCATACAAAAAATGACACACTTACACAAGGCATCACAAGGCAGGTTGTAAAGACAAAATGTGTCACAAGGTGTGTTACACTAGCACACAGTGCAATTGGACCTGTTTACCAGCAAATAACATCACCAGAACTGTTAAGCCAGTGTATGCCACCACAAGGCATGTTCAGTGTAGGGGAGAGAGGTCATATTGCGCCATGTTCTTAAATGCGCCACACCTTCCTCCTGTCCAAAATTCGATTCGAATGAAGGCTCGAATGTGTGCATTTACTTCACCACCAATAACTCGCTCTTATTCCGGTCCACGGGGGCAGGTGAGGTGTCTCAGCTTTCTCGCAGACCAATTTTTGTGATTTCCTCTATTTTCTTACGCGAAACAGTCTATTTCGACCTTTGCTAGTGTCATGGTTTATCTTAGAGATAGTGATTCAACTGATAATCATTGTTAATTGCTCGTTTAATGGTAGTTTTGAAAGTTTATCACCACCGTGGCTTCGCTGTCCTCGCCATATTTGAAGCTCATGAAAAATGTGTTCCATTCGTAATTGCGCCCACCCTATTTGCGCCCTATTCTTCAACCCAGAGAAACAGCATCTGGTGGTTGGGACACATTTCATTGAACACTTTGATTATTAGAGCGCTCACCTTACCATTACCTTAGTCTTCACAGCATAAATGGTTAATGGGCTGACACGTTCAAATAGGCTACTTAGTTAGGTATCAAACCGTTGTTTTTAATAGGGCGCTTTTACATGAGAGGCATGGGCGCTTTTTGATGGGGTAGTCCGTAAATGCGCCCTTTGCAGGTGTGTCGGAAAACTTTTCTCTTGTTAATTTTTATGGGTGTGATACAAATTAGGAGTTGTAATTTGATGCCAAAATAACTGAGGTACAATTTGAGATATCATCAAGCATGACAGCTGGTCAACTTTAGCCGCAATAGGCCGATATCCTTAACGTGGCGCAATATGACCTCTCTCCCCTACAGTGTCATCACAGGTCACACCATTCACAGCTTTAGTGTGCAGGTAACACTGGCATCACTGCAGTGTTTGAGCCAACCTATACAAAAATGACAAATAACTGCCACTCTTGAACTTACTTTTCTGCTTATGCTCATTGATGACATAGTGAATCCACTATTCAGAGAAAAGGTATCCAGGTTTCATCGAAACTGGCCGGTCGTCCCTTGAGCTGTAGCCTGGAAAACAGCAGATGATGAACAAACAGTTACAACAGTTGAATGGCAAAATTAATTCAAATATTTACAATTTAAGAAAAACAACCAAAATCAGGCAAAATTAGGAATGGTGGCAGCAGAATAGAGCTGGTGTTTGAGATACTATGTTGGATTGGGGAAAAATATTTTATTACTGGCACCAGATTACACTCAAGGTGTGGTTTGATTAAAAAAAGCATTGCTTGTAGGGCAATAAATATCACAAGTTGCAGGGTGTGATGCATTCCTAATTACATGACTAATGTTTGCTATGCAGAGGGACTTTTGCCTTTGTTAATGATGACTGCAACACCTCCCTGCATAAACCAAATATCCATATATCATGGTAGCAACAGCACACATAAAAATATCATGTGTAGCTATGGTCTTAACATATGAGTACTTCTAGCCATGAATTTTCCAGCAGAGCAACTCATCTAAAGGGCAACTAAACTAAAAACTGAGAGCAAAATCAATTCAACATTTCACAAATTCACAAATGGTATTAATAAAAAGACTGCAAATTATGCAACGCCATAATGACAATGTGATAGGAGTGTATAGGGCAGGGCAAACGCAACAAGCTCTGCCAAGCAGGGGCTTTGTGCTTGGCAATCCTTCCATTCAAAGTATGACTTAAATTTATTTTATAAAATCACTACATTTTATAACCAAATTACGAACACTTTATGATTCATTTGCAGCAAACAATAATGTAACCAAAAAAATTAGCAGGAGAGTGAATGCATTAAAATGAAGTGGAAAAAAGTGAAATCGGAGAGCATGTAATATCAATGGGTCATTTTTATTTCTGGCAGTGAAGGAAAGTACTTTGATTTCACAACCATAAGTAAACAATGTTTATTAACTAAAAACACAAATTAGTTTCACTGAATGAAAAATAACAGAATATTCCCTAAATTTTGATAGCATCCACACATGTGACAATTGTGTCCAAATCGCGCCATAAGTGCAGCGATTAGCATCATCTACTGAAAAAACAGCCATCAAAAGGAGACATCACAGTTGTGACAACCACAAAATTATGAGAAAACAATGAAAAATATTACCCTTCCATAAACCATTCGTTCCAGCTTGAGATATCAGCGACTTCAGCGCCGCCGCCGTGCGGCGAAAGGGACGGCGGAGTTGAGACAGTTATATTTTTTTACATTAGGTTAACCATACTTAAGAAGAGCAGGCGAAAATCATACAAAAGCATTGAATAAAATCAAAATAAATATACAGAAACGCTCTTTTGTTGCAAATTTTATCGCTCCAATCCAAATCCACCAAACAATACAGGCGCTCTTTTGATTGTCGCTTTCTTAGAGCTGAAAATTATTTGAAAAATAATGAGCAGGAAATACATGCGGGCTTTTACCTGTTAAATGAATTTTAACAGCCATAAAATGAGTTAGATTTTCTCTCAAGAGTGTCGTTTTAAGCCTGTAAAGAAAATGCAAACAATGAAAGCAATGCAAAATTCAGACTTAACTAGAATCCAAAAGTAATTCTATCTCTACTATTCATTTGTTGTATATATGACGCTCTAATGACAGTCAAAACATGTTCAAAATTTTCTGTTAAATGAGAAGAATGGCTGATGCATGCAAAAGGCCCACTTTGATTTGCTCATTTATCACATTGCTAGCGCTCCTAAGCATTATATTTCTTTGCATGAACGCTGTGGATAAATCCCTAAAAATAATAAATCCAAAAGAACGTTTACGGCCTTGGTTCTTGAGGGATTAAAATAAATGTAACTGCAGTTTCGGGCATAGATGATAGGTAACTACTGAGATATTGAAAAATATAAAGAATGTTTAAGAAAGTGAAAAAGAAACCGCTAAGGGAGCGGAAGGCCTCATCAGAGAGTGACGAAGCACCCCAATCAGATGATGAGGAGCTATCCTTAGCGTATGTTGTGCATGTTGATAATTTGATTGCTATTTTGATGTTTTCTTATCAAACAGAACCACTCCATGTTATTGTGAAGAATTGAAATTGAATAATTAAGAACTTCCAGTCCAGAAGGGGTTGGGAATAAGGTTTGGTCGCAAGCCGCTAGGTATATCACTGGTTGCTATAATGTTGTTAGGTGCCTATCAATGGTGTTATCTTTTTGGCCCTTGAACTTGACATTCCGACTGAATCATCTGACTTAGCACTGCTGATTTGGCTGCAGTAAATACTGTTGTTTTGTTTTCTGTTGACACTGGACACCAGACTCAGAGTGGTGTAATTCACGTCTCTGTCACAGTAACTTTTTCATTCCAGTGAGAAGCTGGAGGAAGCTCGGGAGCTCCAGAAGCTACGTAAGAAGGCTAGTGGCATTGACATTGAAACACTTGCTAAAGGAGATGTTAAGAAGGATGCGAAAAAGAAGGTAGGAGCTGTGTCATTTTGTCAGCCCCATATCAGTAGGCGGAACTATGGTCAAGCGTACCCATTTTCGGGAACGCATTTTCGTTCCCATGTTTGGGAACGATAAACCCAAATATGGGAACGCCATGTAGGCATTATTTAAAACAAGAAAAAGAACCGTTAAATGACGTCCAAAAAATATCAAACGATCGTGAACCGCCTGATATTTGTCTCAATATTGTTGGGAAAGAGTTTGATATTGTAAGGCCCATCGTAGTTTCAAATCGTTCCCCTATTTCTAAAGCAGTCCATCATCCGGGCCGCGAGCCCAAATTTGGGAACGCTCTCGTACACTGGCGCTGCAAGCGTTCCTTATTATGGGAACGGCGTACCCAAAATTGGGAACGATTTCACCGACGCCTTTCAGGGGCTCTTTTCATTAACAAGCATCACGTCCAACGCCGCAAATTATTGTTAACGCAACAATCATCAGATGACCTTTCCGGCAAGACCGTCGCATGTTTCGCCCGGTCTTCTGCGCTTTTATTCCCGTCGATCTCGCAGCGGGCACGCCCCCCTCTGCAGGATTACGTAATTCACAACGCTCAGCAATGTTCAACAAGGTCTTCCATACCTATATCCACCAGCCGCCCCGAGGGTGGAGACATGTCAAGCACCTGTCTGTTTATCACCGATAGTTGACGAGCACAAGGAAGTATCCAAAAATGGGAACGCTGAATATGTTACACCCTCAAAACACCTAGTCCCAATGAAAATCTAGTTTGTTCCTTTCTTGATGAGTGTAAGTGGCAAAAGGCCTGGTAGGATGGGCACGAGGAATGATCGAAATCAGCATAAAAATTATAAATAAGCCACACAGAGCGACCTATATAAGAGAAATTCCCCCAAAACGATTACGCTTAGAAACACGGAAGACAAAAACCACGCTCATGACGCTCCTTATAAAACAACTCTAAACAGCTAGCATCCAAATAAAATATGTCTTTCCGGGATGATAAAATACAGCTGAATAATTTTAAACCACTGAAACTGAGTTTACAACAGCAGTTCGGTAAAATCACTGACGTTCCATGCAGTCGTGCGCCCCGACACCAAATGTCAACAATATTACCCCGGGACTGTCCGCGTGTTCGCTTGCATATGTCAGCATCTGGTGTCGCTAGTATGAAACTTCATAACCAGGCGAAAATTATTATACTTGACCTCAAAATGTAAAAAACGCTTCATTTTCCTTAAAATTGCAAATTAAATGTAGTATAACCCATGTTTTCACCATTCCGTCATTTCAAAAAATCATTAAAAATATCATTCGACGGTCAATTTCCTTGTTCAACGGTCAGATTAAAGATAATTTTATAGAGACTTAGTAGATACTTAAATTAGCGTGCACTTTTTTGAGACGTGATGCACTAATGAGTTTTAGTGGGCGAACGGCCGAAAAATTACCTTCCGTTCTCATAAATGGGAACGCCCGTTCCCATATTTGGGAACTCCGTTCCCAAAAATGGGAACGTTCCTATATTTGGGTACTCATGACCATAGTTCCACCTACTGATATTTACTAGGTATCTGATAAGTATATGAATGGGAATCAGTGCTTGATTTTTCATGCATGATTCAAAAGCTGAAGACATGTGGGCAGGTATGAATTCTGTGATGTACAGGTCTCGCGGGTTTTAACCCTCGCCCTGGCAGGGCATTTTTCATAACACGGCCTGGCAGGGGGGGGGGGGTCGATGCGACCCCCCCCCCTCGCGATTGGCTCCTATGGCACCTAGAAACACCAAATTTGGTAGGTAGGTGGGCCCCCTGAAGTTCTCGCCCCTGTGCAAATTTGGTTGCTCTAGGTCGATATTTAGGGGGGTTTTGGGGGGTATAAATGTAAAAATTTCGCTAAAAACAGGTCAAAAGTTTTTTGCGTATAACTTTTGATCTATTTGAGATAAAGCAAAAAGAAAAGCACCAGTGAACTTAGCACGTCAATGCGCGTCGAATGATATACTTTTTAGCTTGCTTAAGTGTACTTAAAGTTTTTCTTAAATTTTAAGTAAACTTTAATTAATTAATTAAGTTCAAGTTAACCAAATTGCATCATATTGCATATCATTCGATTCGGCTGATCACCAGGAACACAATGATAACATTTTTTAAGCTCTAGCGTCATTATGTGCCAAGTTATTGGCAAAAACGTCATTTGACCTCAGTTGACCTCATTTGACCTGACCCATGGATAAGTACACCAAACAAAGAAGCACCAAGTGACCTGCTGTTAAGTACTGTGGTTTCAAAGCACAAAAGTGATAGAACGAAGCGGATATCTCCAGTATTTTCCGAATTTAGTATTTCCCCATAGGCTTAACATTATGACGTAATGACCTCTAACTGACCTCAGGTCACTGACATCCAAAAAACCGGAATATATGTTATACAACTTGGTGAACTTAGCACATCCTGAAAGTTTGAAGGAAATCGGTCCAAAACTGTGAGTTGGACAGGTGCATAAAGAAAATGGAAATTTGACCATGACCTTGTACCGGTTTTTCTGACCTGGTGACCTGACCCAAGGTCACTTGGACCTGAAATTTTCAGGTCATATGTAAAAAGGTTGCCCCATAGGCTGTGCCAAATTTGGCGGCGCTGCGCGCCGCCGTTTTTACGCTATTTTCGAAAAACCTTAGGGGGGGGGGTCGCATCGACCCCCCCCTGCCAGGGCGAGGGTTAAAGGGACACTCCCACCTTAACATTAGTTTTGAGTTGAGATAGCCAAATTGGTGGCCATGGCCTGCAAATACCGGTTTGGGCACTCACAACATCGACAAATGCTTTAATTCGGAGATATGGAATTTCAAACTTGCAGTTTTCGGATTCTAAGGGGCTAGTGCATTGGTATGCCCCCTTAGAATTTGTGACGTCAGCGGAGATCTAACGATTTTTAAATCTTTTACTAAAACGTTTGGTAGCACGCGGTGGCATATGCTGCTTTGCGCGCAACAAATGCCGCACTTTCAAATAAAGTCGCTAGGAACAGCGGAGATCCCAAAAAGTAAACAAAAGTAAAAGTCTAATATCTTGAAAACCGGTGAATATTTTTCGATAAAATTTGGTAGATATTCGTTTTCGCTCTTTCTGAACCGAGCGACATCACTTTCGTGCCAATTCATTAACTTTTTTGAAGGTGGGAGGGTCCCTTTAAGGGTAGGTTTTGCCTTTCCGGCTATATCTTTTTCGTCTTCAGCTTCGTAGGCTTGAAGATGTGACCAATTTATTCTTATAGCTCCCTACCATGATCATGGAAAAAGGTTTAACCGTATGCCGGATAGTTTCGGAGAAATTGAAAGAAAACCTCAAAATCCGCCGTTTGGGGCATTCTGACCGCGGCTTCCCTGCAGTCGCCTATGACTACAGTGGCGCCACCCAACGGGTAGGACGCTGAAACACAGAGGCATGAATGAACCCAGCGCGTAGTAAACGGTGAATGGAAGCGCGGGACTCAGCAGAGGCTATCACTGCGGCCCGCGCGCAGGGCGTCCTTGGACAACGGCCGAGCCCTCGGGCGGTGAAGCTAGAGGTCACGAGAGCCCGGCGCTGTTTAGCGTGTAGGGAGGGGTGAGGCGCTCGCCGCCAGCCTTGTAGCTCGGCCGGTGTGGCATGTCTATGAAAACAGGGGTTGGGAGGAGCTGGAACGGGGTGATAGGTTTAGGCATAGAATAGAATGAAAGTGTGCTGAGGCCAGTGTTACCAAAAAAAAAAAAAAAAATAGCCGGCTGCCAGTATTTTTTTTTAGAAGTCTCCCTCAAGGTCAACTAATAACCCCTTACCTAATATATCATAAATAATGATAGGAAAAAGTAACAGCTATGGGCAAAATATTCCGGCAGCCGGCGATTTTGCTGTTGGTGAAACTGGCCTCAGATCAACTAAAAATATCTTTTGCTTATTAAAATGCATCCATCATTACGAAATGATCCACAATAATTTATTGAGAAAGATACAATGAATTATATTTTTCCGATGTTACCGTTTTTATAACAATTATTATTTGCACTTGAAAGGACGGTCGAATGAACCCCTCCCCTCATTTTTTCTCGAACAACTCTTCTTAAGTGGCGGATCGCCACGTATATCTATACAAAAAATCGTAGCTGCCATAGATCGGCATAGATCGGCCGAAAATGGGAGTTTGACAAATTGATGCCGATTGTGAATTTTTTCACCATAAGTTTTCCAAAAAGTCGAACTATTGATCTGATAATTTGCATATCGATGGACCGCGTTAGCCCGCGCCCCGTAGGGCTATCGGCGGACCCTACCACCCGTGGGGGGGGGGGGGGCGTTTCGCCCCGCCCCCAAGATCTCGGAAAGTTACCGGCCGATTTTCAAAATTTAAACGGCGTTGGATAGCCGGCCAGGGCTGCAGAGTCGGAGTCGGAGTCGGATTCGGAGTAGGTCGGAGTCGATAGTTTTGACCGGAGTCGGAGTCGGAGTCGGAGTCGCCAAAATCTTACCGACTCCGACTCCGGGGTCGGAGTTAATTTGGCATAGCTCAAAGTCATGCCCTCAGCCCTACACATGTTTGCTTGGAAATATGATGCTCGTTGATGTTTCCAAACCAGACTTTGTCGAAGCTAAGGCAAGGTTTCTGTTTTGGACGATCATTTTTAGCGAAAAACCAGAAGACCGGCTGTGCTAGAAACTGCTTATGGTACTGAATGCTATTTTTTAAAGTATCTATAACTGCGATGGAAGGCCATTGAACGCGCGAATGATTGTCTCAGGCAAGATAAAAAGACCTCCGACATGAACTTTTCTATCATGATATGCACTTATAGGGAAATGCCCGGAGTCGGAGTCGGAGTCGATTTTTGAAGCCGGAGTATTTTCGGAATATTTTTCTCTATCTTCAAAACTGTAGGCCTGACAGCGCTTCCCGCGAAACCTTTTTTGTTGAAAATGGCAGTACATGACGTCAGATTTGCGGCCAACTTATCATAGCCTCTAGATACATTTTTGGTCACAATGTGTAAAATTGATAACCGGAGGGGCCCTGAAAGTTTGGTGACGATATCTACAGTCGTTTAGGAGATATATACGGAAAAGGACAAGGGGCGTTCCCCCTACGGGGCGCGGGCTAGGTTCTATAACATCAAGATTTTCTCGAAGTTAAAAAAAACTTTCGGTTGTTTTTGGGAAAATAATATGATGATTGCTGAAATAATATGCTTTAATGATACACATCTTATTGTGTTACACATTTTTATCTATGTTCAAAACTGTAGGCGTGGCAGCTATTCCCGCAAAAGTTTTTTTTAATGTCGAAAATTGCAGACCCATGACGTTATTCTGATGTCATTTTTGGCCAACCTATCATACTCTCTGGAAAAAGACGGCCCCGCATGGTTTAAAATTGATGCCCAGAGGGTCCCTGAAAGTTTGGTGACGACTGACGATATCTACAATACCTACTTGGGAGACATGGATTGAAAAAGGGAGAAAGGTCGTTTCGGACCCCTCTCCCCCTAAAAGTCGAAGACTCGAAGGCTAAGGCATATTTATCTCCTATCATATGGATTTACGCTTCTTCAGGCGACTCATATGGATTTGGCTTAAAAAATAACAAAGATAACAACAAACAGGGGAGAGTGGGAAAGATGCCCAGGGTTTTGCTATGTCATACTGGGCTTCTCAAAAAAGTTAGACGATTTTATAACCAATATATTTAAGGGTGCATCAGTGTAACAAAAAATAATTGGGAGTCACCAGAAAGCCTCATCAAAAACATTTCGTTTGAGGGGATTTCGACCCTCGGCTGTCACCTTTTTGAGCCGCGCCGAGGTCATGTTCAAGATGACTCCCTTTTTGTTAAATGCACAGTTTAGCCCGGCGCAGCGCGACCTCTGCTGAAGCACGACACACGGAAAGCTGCAGACGGCGCACCGCTGACTTCACTGCATCCTTATGATCTTAGGAACTTTTTGGGTGGTTTCGGTACACCTGGGACTTGAGGTGGTCCTATAGGAAAAAGTCCGGTGGGGTTACGTTCGGGGAATTCGCCGACCACGGGCGTGTCTCGAACCTCGAGATCACGCGCTGCTCAAAGCGCTCCCACAGCCCCTCCCAGTTTTCTTTGGCGGTATTGGCGTGGCACCGTCTTGCTGGAACCATTGGGTCTTAAACGTTTCCGGATCTCTGCTCATCCCGATACTGCAGAACCCTCCAAAACGTTGCCGGAGCCACCCGATATCGCTGACCATTGACAGTCTGAGTAGCGCACCTCTCACACGAGTGGTGTTCGCCGTGAGCCTTTGATTGGGTTTATGGCCGCCGCTGTGTTCCCTGCATTGCGTGAACCTATTGTTAACACTTCCTCGAGCCAGAAACTTGTCAATAATGTGGAAAATTTTGTTTCAATATGGTGCTTTCTTTGCCCTAAAGTGTTTGCGGATCTTCCGTTGTGTCGAACCGACCGACTTAGTCTCCGAAAGCATAATTTCACGAGTTTTGCTTTTACTTCCTAAGACCACGGCTTCATTTTTTAAGCTTAAATTCCAATGTATCATATAAATCTACTTAACATTCTCCGTTTTTCCACGTGCATTAATTTTGCTTTAATGTTGTTAGGGATCCTCTATTCGCAAAAGAAATCCGTCTAGCTTTTTTGAGAAGCCCGGTATATTATTCGAGAATGACGATGGGAAAGCAAAAACTTGGAGTTTCAACGGAAGCCGACATCATTTTTCTCCAAAAATATCACACTTTCGTGCCTGAAATATGATAACTTTTTTTGCTATTAAGCATTTTCCTGAAGAAGTGAAAGGGGGCATTTTACCCCAGAGGGTGGGAAAGACGCCCCCTGGCGTTGGGGAAGATGCCCCCCGCACTAGAAGTGACATAAATGGGCACGTGAATCGCCTGAACGAATCAGTAGTCCCTTCGAGCCGGCAGTAGACACCAAACGTCATCAAAAGGGCCCTCAAAGTAGTCTAAGGGGCTTCAGAGGTCATCGTTAGGGCCATCATAGTCCAGCGCGGCCAAACAAGCCTCCATGGTGGCGTTCGGAGACCACTGTGGGGCTCTTGTATTGTATTGTATTGTATTGTATTGAACAATCATGAGCGATCCACATTCTGAAAGTGCGTGGCGATTACTGCTCATAGGTCTTCATGATGCTTGAGGGCCCTCGAGCCCATCGTGGGGACCTCAGATGCCAGCGCGGCCCGTGGAGCCAACGTGGGAGCCCTCAAAGGATGTCGTGAGGGGCCCTGGAGCCAATAATGGGGCCCACAGAGGCCGTCGTGAGGACTCTCAGAGTCAGATGCCGCCCAAAAAGTCGCTGTGTGGGCCGAGAGACCGGCATGGGGAGCACCCAACCGTACTGGACTCTCAATAGTCCCAGATCGGCTTTTGTCTACATCACAAGTATGTAATAAATGATTTGAAGGGCTGTTTGAAGGACAGCCTACGGATTTAGGGGGGCGTCTTTCCCCATCAGGACAGGGGGCATCTTACCCCAAGGTACCGAAGTAACATTATATCAGTACAATTTGTTAGCCATAAAACTACACCCTGAAACAAACTGTTTGGGACACAGTACACGCATGATAATGTATCACGACTATAGCAAGGGACGCAAAAAATTATCTACCTTCTTTGATATTTACAATGTTTTGACACCAAAATATTTTTTGAAAGCAGCAAATAAAAAACATGCAATCATCAGCCAGCCGTTGCTCAACTGAGCTTCGCAAATTTTTGTGCAGTTAACAAGGCAGGCTTCCGCTTTACGCTAAGAACATTAATTTCCAGGTTCGATTCTTTGTTTCGCCGCTAGAGGGGGTGGGGCGTCTTTCCCACCCTGGGCATCTTACCCCACTCTCCCCTAACATTGGTGTAACTAAAACCCAAATGCCTATCTTTTAAAAATGATGTCAAAAATCCAAAAAGTTTGGTGACGACTGACGATATCTACAATACTTAGGGATACATGGATTGAAAAAGTGATTTAACATTTACATTTACATTTTCTAACATACAACATTTGTAACATACAACATTTTCTGCGGTAAGCTTTGTGTCTGGTAGTTTTGGAACTATAGTGCGGCAGAAAATAAACTGTAGTGTGACACGATATCCGGCCTTATCAGGTCACGGATAATTAGGAGAAACGTCCCCAAGAAATAACAGCGCTAAACAGTCGTCTGCCGGCCCCATTGGTAACCGGCTAATACTATTCACGACCTTGGATCGGCACGCTGCCGGGCCGCCGGCTCACTCAGCCCGCTGGCTACGGGCGACCTTGACCGCTCAACACCGATTGGCCAACGGACGGGGTCGTGCGCTGGTCAGCACGTGGAGAGGACGGGGCACAGCACCGCACATTGTATGCGACCTCTGACCTTTCCCTGTCTCCTGACCGCATGACGGGTCGCCGGCCCAGGCGGTAGAAACCGGTTCTAGCCTCTACACACACTGCCACCCTAACCCTCCCCTCCCCCACGCTACTACGTGATGTAGTACACGCTCGTGCGAAACTGGGCGGAGCAAAGGGTCGCCGATACAGGGGCGGAACTAGTTGCCCTCCCGCCCGCCGAGCGACCTACCGCTAAAACCCGCGAGACCTGTACCTAATCATCACACTTTTTGCTAGCTTTAATCTGCATTGGCTAAGTAATTAAATGTTGCCATGCAATCATAATAGCAGTACTTAATCCACTCCTCCTTTCCATCTCCTCCCCTACCCACATTCATTAGTAAGGTATCTTGGCCCACACTGACCTGTTCGTGTCTCTGTATTCCTATGGCAGAACGACCCATTCAAGAAGACAACTGGTGGAATGGTGGACCTGGCTGCCGTCAAAAAGGGGGCCGCCGATGACACGGACGACGCGTACGACACAGGTATCGGCACCTCCTTCTCGGCCGAGACCAACAAACGAGACGAGGATGCCGAAATGTGAGAACGGGGAGGCATATGGGGCTCGGATGGTGACGACAGCAAAGTAATGGCGTAGAAAAATAGTAGAAATGAAGGCACACTGCAAATATGTTTTGTGTACCTATTCCGTGCGCTATGACTGAGTGATGTAGTGTAACCGAAGTCTGATCGGTTAGATATATTGTTTATCGTGGTGACTCTTCATTTAGATCGTGTTTGTTATGACCGTTGTCTTTCTGACCTCTTTCAGGCAGATTATGTTTATCGTTACCGTTGTTTGCTCATTTATACCGTTTCTGCTATAACCGCTGTCTGTCTCACCTCTCTCAGGTAGATCGTGTTTGTTATGACGCTATATGTCTGACCTCTCTCAGACAGATTGTGTCCGCTAAAACCGCTGTGTCTGTCTGATCCCTCAGACAGATTGTGCCTGCTATAACCGCTGTATGTCTTTCTGACCCCTCAGACAGATCGTGTCTGCTATAACCGCTGTCTGTCTTTCTGACCTCTCTCAGGCAGAAGTACATCGAGACGGAGCTGCAGAAGCGGCGCGGTGTTCAGGAGAACGAGGACGACCAGCAGAACTCGTACCTGACGCCCGAACAGGCGGCGCTCATGGTAGGCGGGCGGTCCGTGGGCCATGAACAGGCGGGCTGTGACACGGCGGGATCATGGCAGGGTGCCCCCCCCCCCCACATGACCGTGGAGAGGGGGGGGGAGGGTATGATAAAGACAGAGTGACTATCAGGAGTATGAAAAATAACCTCTTGCTCATATCTGAAGGAATTAAAAAATTAAAGACCAATATATATTCGGGCGTGGCCCTTCCTCAGTGGTACAGTGTTACAATGGAACAAGAGAGACGTATGTGACACACATGAGACTAAATACATTATTTTGAATAAAATCACTCACAGATATTTAGCATGCGCTTCCAAAATAGGTGTCGATCTAGATTTACTTGGCAGGAAAATGAATGGTTGCATGAAACATAAATGAATACAGTTCGATATGATAGGGATACGCTTGGTCTAAACCTTGTTATACATATTGCCAACATTTACACATATTACGTCGCAAGCTTACCTGAAAACAGAGTGACTAACGTGATTTGTTTGGGTTTCTCGGTCGTATCCCGGAAACAGAGCCCAGAGGTTGTTGTCTGCCCAAATCGACCCCGTACAATATCCAGCTGGTTGTCGTATCGTGTCGGATTTGTCGATGCCTGTGTAAAACTGAGCAATGTAGATTGTTTAGTGTCTTGAGTCAGAGCGAGTTCGATTATCGGTTGCCGAACCCCGTACGTTTTGTATCTCTGGTAAGCCCCGACATGCTGCCGTTTCTAGTACATGAGTTTCTTTGTTTGTGTTTGCAGGCTGTGCCGGAACATCTGAGGAAGAGCTCCAACAAAAAGTCGGAGGAGATGCTCTCCAATCAGATGCTCAGCGGTATCCCGGAGATCGACCTCGGCATAGAGTGAGTCGACGAGCCTCCGCTACTGCGCTCGCTGTGTCGTGAGCTAGTCTGGTACAAACTGTCGGAACAATGTGGGAATCGATTCGTTAAACGGAACTAGCCTGGGGTTCTCGGTTGGGTATTTATACGATGTTACGCTGTTTCGTGTTGGCATTTTGTCGGTCTTTTCACGTATTGACGGAAACGTAACGACAGTAGCCATACAACCGGCTTGCCTGCGTTTCATTCTTATCGTTGTATTCGGCAATCAAGCCGATCACATTATTCACGCTGTAACCACGCCACTCCTCCACCCTCAGCGCCAAGCTGAAGAACATTGAGGCGACGGAGGCGGCAAAGATGAAGCTGCTGCAGGACCAGATGAACAAAAAGTCGGGTCCCTCCCAGTTCGTACCGACCAACATGGCTGTCAACTTCGTACAACACAACAGATGTGAGTCCAATACGACGCATAATTTGTCTTGTGTCCCTCGAAACGTCAATTACATTAACGTTTTTATTTCCCAACATATTCACTACGTCCTTGAACCAAGCGCATTATATGCATTATATGACGACGTAGGATTAGATAGCTAACGTAAGGCACCTATATTGGAAGTACCTACCTGTTGCATTCTCTCCACTTCCGGCCTGCTACATATTTCGTTCACACGTGTCTTTCCCCGTCCCGCGCAGTCAGCATCAAGGAGCCGCTGCGGCCGAAGCGTGCCGAGCAGCGCCCCGAGCCCAAGAAGCCCGTGCTGGTGGTCGGCGGAGTCCGCGAGGACGACGAAGAGACAGAGAGAAAGCGCAAACACGGCCAAGCCAGCGACGACCTGCTCTTCAACAAGTTCAAAAAACAGTTTCGGCGGTGACCACCGGCGGTGGCGCGGTATGGCTGCCGGCGGATGGATGGGTGATGCTGGACGGTGGAATGGGTGACTTGGATGGTGGAATGAGTGGTGCCTTGGATTAGAGATGTCAATCGGATACCAACTTTTTGGTATACCGATACCAAACCGATACCAACTCGGTATTTGGTATTTCAATCCTAATGTGTTTGGTATTTTGTTGGTATCATGAACCATCGCTAATGTTTAAGAGGCTAAGAAATTGGTAAAAGGTTGGTATTTTCCTCATGTTCCCAAGTTGGTTTGGTTTCGGTATTTCTCCACGGTTTTGGTTGGTATTTGGTTTGGTATCGGTATTCCGATTTTCCGTAATTGACATCACTACCTTGGATGGTGGAGTGACTTGGAATGGAAAATAAGTGATGAACGGCGTGGTCTCTTGAGTCTAGGGCGAGCCTTCTTCGCGCTGTGTTGGGAGTATTTGTGCGTGTTTGCTCGTACATAGTTATTTATCAGTACGTCTGGTGTGCGGTTTGTGCTGGCATCAGTATCCTTGTGAACGGTTGTTTGGATACGACGCCATGTACAGTTTTCAGTGATAAGTGACTCGTGTGTCGCTCTTCGCCTCGTTGTTGGTCAGCATTTAGCGACGTGCACCCTTTCCGTCACGCTCTCGAAAAGAGCCTTCGTCTTATCGGAACATAATCGATTGCTGCGCGAACGATTTCCACTTTTCATCCCATAATTCCGCAGTTCCTCAGAATCACTCCATCCCATCATCGACCTGCTTTAACCAGCAGTTGTGTAACACAATACAGCTAATGACTGGCACAATGTATTTTCGAACCACGCAATGGACGGAAGTTATCACATCTATCAGTCACGTATAGGCTGGTCCGGTGTCGTGTTGTACTGCTCTGGATCAGACCGCACAATGCGAGTGGACGAAGGGAGACTCCTCGCCTCGCCGGTCGGTGGCGCAGAGATGACGAAACAGGCGTGAATCGACAGCTGGAGGGCCTAGACCCAGCGGATGTATGACATCGGCGAACAGCCTACCGGATAGTGAGGTCTGCCTATGGCCGGTTACCGGCGGTACAACCATATTATCTATTCACAATTGCGAAGTGTGAAATAAGTTATAGGTAATATGGAAAAGGGTATTTTGTGTCCGCTGGGATGACTGACCGAATATACTGGATTCCCGCTAAGTGTCACTATCCAAAAGACACGACCTCTCCTTTCGTACCAGTCGGACGGAGTTGACACGACAGAGGGACTGTGCGATGACGATTAGCGGCCACGCGGCCGCGGCTCATGAAAAATACACCCGCTCTGTCTCAGGCACTGATGCGACGAATCGATGGCTCGGCGGTGCGGCGGGTGAACCCGACGTCGACGGTGCACAACACGAAAACACCGTCATCACACGGCGTTGACACGAGCGGGCACCAGTACAAACAGCTAGCTGACTAGACGCAGAGTATTGTGCGAAACACGGCGTGCCGACTATCATTGATCTACGGTGCTGACATGTGACGTTGACATCGAAACAGATCTATGTAGAGTATAGCCACAATAAGTGGCGCCGAGATCACCAATTCAGACGGTCGGCATGGACCAAATACTCGACTCGTGGACGGAATACAAACTCGAGCAAAGAGGGTAGCTGCAATGTGCAGGCACGCTTATCGATCGACCCGACACCAGTCCTTCGGTACATACAGGGGCGCAGGGTTTCGGTCGACATAGTCTGACAGTCGAATGAAATCAAACACTCGGTGAGAACATGCTGCAAGCACGACTGGGACAGCGGCTTCAAAGTTCGAAAGGCCCTATCGCGGCACGTCTTTCGTAGCATTTCACAAGTACTGCGTGATCATATCCCGCTGGCAATGTTTCTCCGCGATATGCAAAATATACACGCTTCAGCTGATTTTGTAGGCAACCTGGATCATTGCCAACAAAGAAAAATACGCAACATATAATTTACGACAGTATGCAATAAATAACAGTTATAGGCGGCGCAATGTATCCACGGGGTCATGCACATTACACACCTAAAAGCAATAATGACCTAAAATAAAGCTATTTCTTTTCGACTTAAAAACTAGAAAAACAAAGCATAAAACAAATCACCAGAATAGGTACCATATATGGCAACAATTGTATCATCGACACGCCCATATCTCATGTAATTTCCGATATTACAGCCGCCTCCTCCCGCCCCCCCCCCCAAAATGTTTTCGTTATCTGACAGAGAACGCAACCCAAACCCATCCAGCACAGTTGGTGGTGACTAGCATCGTGGACTTCCTAACGTCACACATGACTAGAACGAATTCAACAGGCACTCAGACATTGTGGTTACATCCAGCCTCATCCGTCCCTTCAAGGACGTCCTGTCACTTGCATCTGACTAGCACGACCATTGGTATTCGCCAGCCGTCTCATCACAGCAATTGGTCAGAAACTGGTCAAAAGTATATCCTTAGCCTGATTAGTGCACCCGACAACGGCAGGAGTATGACGACCCTTCCCCATCCGAGCCTCAGACCTCCGCTCTCCCAACATCAGCCCTCGGTATACAGACCGATCTCCGCTCTCCCAACATCGGCCCCCGGTATACAGACCGACGTTCCTCAGCTCTGAGGCCTTTCTCCGAGCCGGTAGCGCTGGGGACCACAGTGCTGCGCTGTCAATCGTTCCCTGACGGCGGCATTGACGACATCGAGGCGAGCAGCACATCGTTGGGCATCGGCGACGTCTTTGTGTAGCGCTTGAAGAAACGGTTCCGGCGCTTGCCGCCGGGGACGCCTGTGGAAGGGGCGAAATTAGGCATCAGCCCGAGGCGCCTAGGGCAGGCCGGGAGGGTTGTTGTACAGACATAGTTATGTGAACGAGCGGAGTGCAGCCTATGGATGTATTGCGTACCGGCAGTCGTATTTCATCACGTGTGAGTGGCTCATTTTATCAAGACACTGCTTGCCCGTCCGTCCGTCCGTCCGTCCGTCCAAACCCACCCGTACATCCGTCCGTCCGTCCGTGCGCCACTCACCGTTGGCCTGTGCGGACAGCTGGGAGGCGCTGGATGAGAGCAGCGTCTCCGAGTCGCTCCCCTTGATACTGCCCTGACCAGAGTCCTTCTCCAGCACCGGAGAGTCCGGAGACTGCAGGGAGGAGACGCGGCGTCAGTGGACGAGGCGGACGGACGGACGGCAGACACGGGGAGAACTAGTGTGGAGACCATGACTGAATCAGGGGGAGAAAAATGAAACAGTGGCCAGCATGGAAACAACGACCAGCAATTCACAATACTGTTTGAACTTGTTCGCTTGCAAAATTGTTATCCATATTTCCGTAAATACCTGATGTGTGTCATTTCCGCGCCAATGCGCCAACCAGAACCACAGAAAAGAAACAAACAAGCAATCAGCTAGTACTTTGAGGCTACAACTAGCCCGGTGTAACAAACCCCAACCCAACAAGGCCACCCGTCGCGAAGACTGCCTGGGGTTCGCCTCAGTGAAAACACCCACGTACCTCTCTGCCGGAGGACGGCTCCATGGATCCCGCCGGGTGGAGCACCACCGGCTCCGACTCGGCCTGCCCGCCGCCCTCCCCTCCTGCTCCGGCCTCTGGGTCAGTCCCGCCGCCCTCCTCCCTTGCTCTGTCCTCCTTCTGACCAGCACCGCCACCGCTCGCCGACCGCCCCTCCTCCGGGGCGCCGGCCAAGTCACTCGTGTCCCGCCGGCTCGTCTGGTCACGCACCAGGCGGCCCATCTCCGTACGAGTGAACACCTCCTGGATCTGTGCCTCCAGCTCGGGGTGTAGCGGAGTGTCCGGGGAGGGAGTTTTGGTCTGCGGAGGTGGCGGAGACCGGGCCCCCTCGGCGGCTGCCGCTGGGAGGTCGGAGTTCAGTGGGCTCGCCGGGGCGGCCGCCGGGGCGGCAGTAGGGGAGGTGGCGGGCCGGGCCGGCGGCTCCGACTCGGCGGCCTGAGAGACGGTCACCTGCCGGACACCGGGTGGGGTGAGTGGTTACTGTGGGTGGTGAGGGCTGGTGATTTAGTTAGCATTGAACCAAGGCGAGGGAACTGAAGGGGCGGGGTACCTGACAAAACAAAGGTGAATGTCAGCGTGATCAAAACATGTCACAATTTCAAGGACATAATCCCAGCCTTGCGTGGCAAAACAAGACTAGTGAGTAGTGACTACCACAAACAAAGCTACCGACGTCACCGAGTAGCTGATACTGCTTTAGCAGCTAGATGTCACCAAGTACCACGTACTTGCAACCAAAGTTCCAGCAGCCCACTCGTCCCACACCCCACAGCCACAACACCCCTCCGCTCCCACCGCTTACCGTCTCCACAGGATCGCCGTCCGGTTCCCGGTCCTCCCGCTCTCCTCCGCCGTCCCCGCCGCCATCCCCCACTGCTGCTGCCGCCGCTGCCGCCGCTGCAGCCGCCGCCGCCTCCCTGTTGCGCCTGATCCGCTCATCCCTGGCGCGGCGCTGCTGCTCCAGCTCCACGGCTCGCATGGCCAGGTCGGCCGTCACCCGCTCCTCCAGGGAGGAGTTATTGTCGATCACGTAGTCGGCCAGCCAGCTGCGGAGCGGGAGACGGGAGGTCAGAGAGGGGAGGGGCTTCAGAGGTCAACTGGGGTCCAGACAGGGGGTGGATACTGTCGAGCTAGTGTGGGTTGTGAAGTTGCGTCAAACACGATTTATGCATTAGATGCGGTAAACTGAAAGTGCCTTGACTATCAACCATAGGCGTCGCCAGAGATTTTCGGTTGGGGGGGGGGGGCAAAATCAACTTTTGTGTTAAAACTTGTCTTTCCCCAATCCACTCGTTTTACATACCAGTATAACGCCTTTTGGGGCGACTAACGGAGCGAGCGAGAGGGTGAGCCTTGCACGTGCAAAATTTCGAGGGGGTACCTCCAGCTGACTTGTGCACGGCACCCTACTAACCGGTCTCTAGCGATGTGCCAAATTTGAGCACAATCGGCCCGGCCGTTCTCGAGATCTGGAAGCGGCACCCTGCACGTGCGCACGTGCAAAATGGGTCCAAACTGACTTTTGCACGGCACCCTACTAACCGGTCCCTAGCGGCTAGCCATGTACCAAATTTGAGCGCCATCGGTCCAGCCGTTCTCGAGATCAGGAATCGACCCCTGCACGTGCGCACGTGCAGCAGCACCCCAACTCTGGCACATGGATATGCATTGCCTAGTGGATGCCTACCTACATGCCAACTTTCAGCGCAATCGGCCAAATAGTTACCGAGATATTGCAACAATTACAAAAGTGACACCTCTTCGTTTTGCACGTGGCACGTGCATAAGGGGTCACCCACATGCATCGGGAATAGTCCAATACTTGGTAGAAGGAATGAAGCTGCCCTACAAAAATTACCGCGTGTAAATCGGCCAAGTGGTTGCTGAGATATAAGCGTCGCAGAATCGTGACCACGGCCGGCCGGCCGGCCGCTCATACCATAGGTGTCGATTTGTATACTTTTGGGTGTGCCCGGGCACCCCCCAATGCTGAGTTGGGCACCCCCCAAGGGGCTCTGGGCACCCACAACCAAAGTTGGTACTGGCATCACTGTTACGATTCTTTGAACGCATTGTTTTCTCTATAATTCATAGGCGCGGGAATGGGGGGGGGCAGTGGGGACAGTTTACCCCCCCCCCCCCCAACTCTGGGGCCGTGGGGGCGGTGCCCCTACAGCATTAAGACGGAATATCTCACTTTTTTGCAAATGTTTTCTTTTTTGATGAAAACGCCAAGGGATGAAAAATAAGTGGCCTAAAATCGGCGAGAAAACTAGGTTTGGGGGTACCCTAGGTTGATTTCAATTATGGTGTGCCCCCCTCCCCCCGCAGTCTGAAAGTAGTTCCCACGCCCCTGCTCTAATTACCGTACGTCAGAATGCGTTGTAAAAAATAGACACAATTTTTCGCTTTATTTATACCAGACAACAGCATTTGGTAGCCATCGACGCATTCGTGCCGCGTCAATGGGTTTTCGGTTCCGGACGTCCTGAAGTTTTGCTTTGAGTGGCGAGATAGTCTTTTGGTCCTAAATATCATGGTCGGGGATCCGCATTCCGCGCCAACTTCACACCGACGGGGGGCGGATACCTCCTCCCCGTGATATCTCGAGAACAAAGCAAGATAGAAACAAGCGGTAAATGGCATGGGATACAGACGGACAAAGTCTACAATTTTACTGAGGTCATTTTCAGGTCAGGTAAAAATGACGTCACAGGGGTAAACAAGTCAAAATAGCGGCGCGTAAGGTAGACAGTTGTACAAAATGTATATCTCGAAACTTCGATACCGGTGACCTAAGGTCAGGTCAATTTTGCCACCTCCCATTACCTATAAGTCCATGGGATAATTCTTCGGAATGCTTGAGACGAGGCATTAGTATCACGGATGTTAGTTGTCGGACTTTCGTTCCCGTCTTGAGTTGAGATGTTAGTTTCATAACATTTCGGCCAGTTACTTCTCCGGCCGTCGCCAGTTGTTCTTTGGTCCATAGAAAGATCTTGGGTGTTGGCATGGCGTTGCGCCGTACGCGTCATACCTTATCGAAAGCTCCTGTGGTCAGCGGGAAATGATCTCGGGTTGCCCCGGTGATAGGCGACAGTTGTTACTAATACTCCACCGCTCGAGGCAGACATAGCGGCCAGACAAACGAACATCTCACCTCAAGACGGGGACGAAAGTCCGACATCTATCGCCAGTGTCAATGGAAGGGAATTAAAATGCGTTTTTTTCTGGACGGACACCATTCTGAACACTTCCAAACACCTATTAACCCGCGCCCGGCTGGGGGTCCTGGATTTCCACGCCCTGCTGGGGGGGGGGTGTTTGAACACCCCCCCCCCCCTTGTAACTCGGCTCCTGGGCCACGTAGCGATACGCGGAAGGCGGCGTTCGAAAGAGCGTAAAAAATAATGACGAAATCACTTCGGTCAATTTTTGTCAGGTCAAAGGTGAGGTCACCAGAGGTCATTGAAGGCAAAATTTCGCCGATTTCCAGGTCGAATGTCGAAAATTTCCAAGAAGCCAACGCATAACTCGGGAACCAATAGAGCTACAGCGCCGCGGAAAAGTGCATTCGATAGCCCTATTAACGCGCTTTCTGAGTAATTCTCTCAGATTTGACCTAACGTCAACGGTTTTGCCTGCAGGGGGCAAAAACTGCAAAAATAGCCGATTTTTTCGGAAACAGTTTTTCTGCAATAACTTTTGACCCAAGCCTTGTAAGAGCTTACTTTTACCGGCATCGTGTTTCTCTCGTCAAGACGCATCGAATGAACTATAACTTGACCTTGAAAGGTCAACTTGAAAATTTGACCTCAGGTCAAGGTCATGACCTGACCGGAAAGGGTCATGTTGCATATCAGTCGATCCGTATCGTCGAGCTGAACACCTATAAGGCGTTTTCATCGCTCTAGCATGCCTCTATCAAAAGTTATTTGCGAAAAACTGTTAGATACCATTCGTGACCTAAGATGACCTCAGGGCACAAACAAGGGTCACGGACACCATTTTCATGTTCAGTGTGTCTAAACCACTTGTAATTCGGTGTTTGGGAGTGTTTATAATGTCTTTCGTCCAAAAGAGGCGCATTTCAATTTTCTCCCATTGACTTATAATGGGGAGGTCGCAAAATTGACCTGACCTTAGGTCATCGATATCAAAATTCTGAGATAAACATTTTGTACATGCTATTGCTCTTAGCAATCGCTGAAAGTTTCAAAGCGATCAGTCACTCGGTGTAGCTATGACAGACATTGAAACTTTTTATGAGGTGAGGTCACTTCAAGTGACCTGGTGACCTGACCTTGAATGACCTTGGTCTGAAATTTTCACAACATGTGTAGAATTGATGTATGATATTAGCGAAAAACCACAAGGGGGGGTGTTCAAACACCCCCCCAGCAGGGCGCGGGTTAACAATTCAACATGACACACTGAACTGGAAAATCACACCCGACGTGAAAATGACGTGACGCTTCCTTATCCCGGCAGTTACTGGGGTATTTCGCCACCCACCGTTTGCTGGGGGGGGGGGGGGGGCGTTAAACGCCCCCAGCCGATAACTCGAGAACTAATAGGCGCAGCGAAACGCACGAGGCGGCAAACGAAAGAACGCAACGAGACGCTTCAGATGAGTAGGTACTTTAAAGTTGAATTTTGAGGTCACAGGTCAGGTCAAGGTCAGGTCAAACACCTGAAATCGGGCTTTCAGTAGCATGGACTTCAGGACTTCGCAATGAGCGCCTCTTGTCATAAACTCTGTCAAAACGGTGCAAAATCCACCATATAAGGCCTACAAGAGTGTCAGCTCCATGCAGGGGTCAGTCAAGCACAGGTCAGGGTCAAGGTCAGGTCAACCGGGCAGGCACATATCCCCGAAAATAAAAACTGATATTCGCAGCCTGTGACACATGTTTTATGGGTAATTTGGGGCGTAGAACACGATATTGACATTCATTTTATCATATGTGTACGTGTTTGCCTAAAAAAGCTCAATTTAAGAAATGCATGTATCATGGTCGTGAAGTAGTCACGAGAAATTGCCAAGATTCAGTTCAAGATTTTGGAAAATGCGGAACAATAATCAATAATCGAAGATAGCCATTTGATTGTTCATGGTATTGGCAGTCTAATGGCGTTTACGGCATGTCTGTATGTCTATTCTGGGATTTTATATGATTTTTTTAACATATGCCGTTTTTGGTCGAAAACTCAGAAATCATGACGTCACTAAAACCTCGATATCTCAAAAATTTTCCGACCGATTTTTTTAAAACTTTGTCACAATAAACTTCTATTAATTCCCTACAGATACCCAAAATTTGGCGCGCCGTTTTTATGCTATGGCCCGGCGAAAAAAGTGGGGGCGTTTAACGCCCCCCCCCCCCCAGCAACTCGCGGGTTATATCCCTGAGGTCATCTCAGGTCACAAAAGGGAGCCTAACAGTTTTTCGTTAATAACTTCTGGTAGGCGCATGCTAGAGCGATGATCGACTGAACGGATCGACTGACATGCAACATAACCTTTTCCGGTCAGGTCTTGACCTTGACCCGGGGTCAAATTTCAAAGGTCAAACCAGACATGTGCTTGGATCCGGAAAAATGGATCTGAGATCCGATCCCATGGATCCCGATCCGAGATCCATTCAGATCATAGATCCAACCCCTCAATTTTGTCGAGAGATCTACTGGGATCATAGATCTGACCCTTCAATTTTGTCGCTAGATCCACTCGGATCATAGATCTGGCTCCCCAATTTTGTCGTGAGATCCATTGGGATCATAGCTCATACATAGGTGCTCAAAATGTTAACAACTTTCTTTCATAAGAAGTTATGAATACCAAAGTATGGTTAGAAACAAACAATCTTATACAAACACCATATTAGTAAAGGCATCCAGTTACATTAAACAGAATACAAAATAAAGGAGGCTCATGACGGTCACAACTTGAGAGAATTGAGTGACATGAAGATTGTTCACAGTTCACATACCAACAGAAAAGTTTGCATTAACAATTAACATAGAGGTAAGTCAAAGTAATGAC